ACTATAACGATTTCGGGTAAGGAAACCTACTCATAATGTGTTTTTTTTAGCATACTCTGTTAGCTAATATAGCCCCTCAGCGGCTTCCGCCCTCTAGGAAGTTTCTTTTGTCCTCTTCAGTCAACAACAACAAAACAAGCGAGTCGGTGTGTTGACCGGAGAAGAAGGTGTGTTGGTTGGTTTAATTACAGTATAACAACAAGTCCTTACTGATATGAAACACGAGTTCGTATTGTCAAAACAAGTCGGTTATCTCTCCGTTACTGTGTGAATACCTTTGGACTGGCTAATATCAGGGGCAGTGAAATAGGCTGGGTGTGTTAGATAGGGCAGCCTCAGCGGTACAATGGATGATGCCATTTTATGATCCATGAATAATTAGCTAACGTGCTGTTTGACCGTAGATCCAGCACTATGCACCTTAATTTTAATAGGAGATATTTAGAAACATGTTGTTTTAATTATTTCATTTGTATGGGCAATATCCCTCATGTCTGTGATCTAGTTCTCTCCAACAGGTAAAGTGCAGGGCAGCACTGATATTAGCCAGCTGTGGTCTTAATAACATTGAAACCCATTAACATTGAATTGTGCACAGCATGCATATCTACTTATGGACAGTTCCCTGTCTGCAATATACAGTAATTAATGGATTTTTCTGTATCCCTGTCTCTAATTTTGCTTAAATCCTGCTTCTCCAGATGCCACGATGGCTACAAACTTCACCATTTCCAGCGACAGTGAGTCAGAGCCTTCGGAGGAGGTAGAGGAAGGAGAAAACAACCAATCATCAACAGCGGAAGAGCAGCGAGCTCCTCAACGTCACACTCTCACCCTACCTGAGCTCAGAATGGCTGGTAGGAAACATTAAATAATTGTGGGGCATTGTGGGTTTGGAGCTGGAACTGAGGATAACATTTGCCACTCTGGGTTGAGAAATCTGCCAAAGTATGTTTGGAGGACTCATTTACTGCCTGTTAATGCCGAGAGATGGACACACTCAGAAATCAGACAGGTAGAGTTTGTTGTATTTCTGCTCCAGTTCTCAGCAGCGTGTGCAGTTTCATGCTCAAAAAAATATCACTTTTCCATTCCAGATCCTCAAATATTAAACCTTCTAGTGTAATGTGTGTTAGCAAATCATGACAATATGCTAAAATTCACCAGGGCAGTGGTGTATAGTTAAAACCTAAACCCATGACTGCTTGTTTTCTCATTATTAATGAACAGTTTTTGTAGAAAAATAAAGCAATATCCTATTATATTTTCTGCTCCAATTTAGTTTCTGCAACAGCTGCCAGAGTGCAGCTCCTATTCTATCATTGTTGCTTAGACTTCATTTAGCAGAAACCTGGTCTTTCTTTCTGGTCTGTATTTGGGATATTTAAATGAGATTGCACCATTGCACCAAATGTAAGCTAACCTATAGTTTACCTTTATTTTATCCACATAGTTTGACACATTGCTCCAATGATAACTAGGGATTAATATTCTTCTATTACTAATTTATCTCCCTACTGTTCCCTTTCCCAGTGTTTTATGTTGATTTAATCCTGCTCCTCTGAAGCATTACAAACCCCTCTCACCTTTGCCTTTTACCATGTAGGGACCGGTCGAATCAGGCTGAACTCAGAGTCCCATGCCTCCACTGTCTCCAGAGACGAGGAGCTCCAGGCTAGGGGGGAAGATGAGGCTGGTACACCAACTGATGGAGCTCCCTTCAGGGGCCGGTCCAAGTCGGCTCCCCCTGCCTTGTGGGCGGCCAAGAAATATGGCCGGCAGCTCCGAAGGATGAGCGACGAGTTTGACAGCCTGCTTGACAAAGGGGTGAGAATGAGGGGGTTAGAGGATGGAAGATGTGTTCAAATGGGGTTAGAAAAGAAGACATCAGTGACTGTGTAGATATATTTGGCATAGTTGGGGGAAAGGGGCAATAATTGTACTAATTGGTATTAGAATGATTAAAGGTGGTGATAATAGATGTGTTTTTGGTAAAGGAAATAATTCAGGCTATGTGGTACAATGATAATCAAATTGAGGAACAAAATGATCCTTTTACAAGTGTAACTGACCAGTCGTGTTTTAACTTTACACTGTGTCTTCATTTCATGCAGGAAATGAAGAAGGTGAGGAGTGCTGGGTCGGCCAGACAGATGCACCACTCTAGAAGCTGGTGGAGCTACCTCTTTAGTCACCAGGAGACAGAGGGAGAGAACAACCATCATGAAAACCACACACACCGCACTGAGTAGGCACTGAGGGGGGAAAATAAGAGTGTTACAGTGTTTGAGGAACGGAGGAATTGACGGGGATGAGAAGAAAGCAACGGGGAAGCCAAGAGAACAATCAGACCTGCTCTGAGAAGGAACTGAAGAAAGGTTGGTTTGATCAACAACAAAAAAAGATCCAAACACAAAGGCATGTCTAAGTCATGTCATTTTTATACGTCATTGGTAACTACATTTAAAAAAAAAAATGTTTGTATTTGTGTTGGTTGTGATGTAACAATATTCTGGAGCAGTCAGGCATGAGGATAGACTGCGGGCTATCTGAACCCCATAGAACGGATCAAATGAGGTGCAAAGACAGGAGAGTCTTCGAAGAAAGACAAGCATATTAAGCGGATTTAAGAGGTGACCACTCAGTTAAAAGATGCTTACCATTTCAGCCTCAGTCTCTCCCATCAACCACATGCAATATACTGTAGATGGAGAGTTAAATGTACTGAAATCGTCAAAACACCTGAGCCCACCTTGAATGCTGTTAGAATTTCCTTCCTCGTTTTCTTGAGGAAGTCACAAATGTCAATGTGTTACTAATGCTTGTTCAGCTCCATGATTGTGCAAGACAAACACAATGCTAATGGAGATCACTGTCAATGTGTGCCAAAATGATCCGCAGGCAACGGAGGAAAGAGTATAAAAAGGAAGGATTTTTTAAAGTATTCAACTTGGGCCTTTATCCAGCTTCTTGTTCTGCTACATGCAAGCCACTACCACAACTTAAAAAACAACTGTACTTGACTATCATTAACTGCTTTATATCTCAAATTTATCAAAAGAAGAACAATCTCGTACAAGGACAATCTCTGATGATGCAGAAATAATATCTTTTGTAAAACTTAAGGGTTAGATTATATCTGAAGAAAATGACATTAAACATACATATAAAAGCACAAACCAATATGAATCTATCTTTTTAAAGCCTTGGATGAGCAAAAAAACCAACAGATTTTGGAATTTTTATGTGTAAATATTTTGTTAACATTTTATCAAATGGCAGGGGTGGAGGTTACAAACTACGTGGTTTAGCCAGAATTTTATTTTACAAACTCCTATTTTACAAGGTTACCACGCTATTTAATAAGTCTGGCCAACCTAGCAATAGGCAGTGTACAATCCATGGCTGTTGTGATAAATGTTATGTGTATATTTAAAGATGTGGGTGGGGATGAATTAACTGCTGTACAAGAAGCCAACACACTAGCCTTTGGTCCCTTTTGCTCAGTACCCAGTGCACATAGAAGAGGGTTTTAGAGAGTCTAGTCACATTTAAACACAGGTGGAAGGGATTTAAACTGGATTTTTCCAAACTTTTTGCAGAGTTTGTTTTGTAAAAATCAGTTCCTAGTCCTGTTGGGTTTATAAAACAGTTTGTTTAAATGCAGGTTGTTCACTTTCATCTGCATCGGGATGTGAATAAATTGGGATCTTAATCAAGCCCAAAGTCTAAGAGTGCTAATCTGATGCTAGATTTGCTATTTATGTATTATATTCAGGCTTTTGAGGATGACTTAACATACTCACATACTATTACTACACATAATATGACCTTTTATGGAAGTTATTATTCATATAAATGACTATAAACTACAACCAGCACTTCTACACAGCTTGGTAAATATAATTAGGCTATTTGTGACTTGTTAATCAATATGTGATTATTGAAAATGGTAATAGGTTTGTTCTACTGTGTCTTATTCTCTTCCTCTCGACTTGTAGGGTTGAGTTGTGAAGTGCTCGGGTGTGCAGGCGAAGGGGCTGCATTTGTATCGTCTTTCAACTAAAGCTTTTGCTCCACCTTTTTTATAGCTTTTGCTAAACCCGGTTAAGGACATTTTTAAAAACAATCTAAATGGCACCTTCTTTTTTTACTTCTTTAGTCTACCATGTGTTTGGTAACATCTGCATCACCCTGACTGTGATTGGCACATTTTGGTGACCCTTTAAATGGAATTAGTATCTGGTATAAAGCTCCCAACACAATTAATACAGTTAGATGATGCTGTTATATCCTCAAAAAAAAAAAAAGGAAGTGGTGCCACCATTTTATGATATCAGATCAGGGAGCAGGGAAATGAGGGATGACTTTATTTCACATTTGAACAACTCACTCCTAGTAGACCTGTACCTGTACTTTGACACAAGTAGTACAGTTGAATCAGCTGGCAGTGAATATGTACATGGTGTTGAGAGCTTGGGGCCAGATATGAATGCTTTACTCTCTCTTGAGAACAAAGTTCAGCTGGAATCGAAAAGAGTGTGATGTTGTTCTGAACTGCCTTGAACGTGCTGTAACCTGTGATGTGACACTGCATAGCCAGCCTTGTCTGTTTACTCAATTACCGCCTTAAACTTTACCGCTCGCTGTCACATATTACGCTCAAGAAAAGAAGCACAATAATGTGGAGGGTGCGTTCGCTGTCACAACTGTGAGGAAAAACCCTATTTCACAAGACGTCATGGTTTTGACTTTAAATATCTGTGGCAGAGAACACACTCTAGAGGAAAACCCTGCCTGGGCACCTGAACTTTTGCAACCATCCTTGATATTACTTGAATCTGGAGATGTGTGTGGAGAAAATGTAATTCTAATATTGACTACTTTTTTTTTTCTTTTGATTCCTTTTTTATTTTTTGAATGACTTTTGTAAATGTATTTTCTCTACAGCTGTGAAACTTCTGGTATATGCTGTCCTGAATAAATAATTTTAAGAGTGGTTTTAAAGTGAGTGTTTTAATTCATAGACAATTCAAATGGAAAAGCTGGAACACAAAAGCCATAATAATACTTTGTGAGAGTATGATTAAATAACAGTAAGAGGCAACAACAAAATAGTCCTAAAAGGCTGGCACATTGACAGATTTGTAAACAACAGTTTCATTGCTGTCAGATATCTAATTTACCTAAATCCTCAATACATTACCTCAGTGCATTTTTTATGTGAAATCAATTTAGTAGTCTTGTCTAAAATCCAATTTCCCACCAATGAATTGCTGCCAGCCAGAACTCTATAACAGCAGCATTAAAGAGGCATCATGGAAGACAGTATTTGTCCCCCCAGTGGTCTATCAGGCCACTTCTGATGGATCCCAGCAGTAGTTGTGCCCACAGTCCAAAGCTGACAGTCGGTCCATGTCTGTGTCACTCAGTGTGAAGTCAAAAACCCTGGCATTGTCCGTTATTCTGTCTGGGTTTGACGACTTGGGGAGTACTGGGACGCCCTGCTGCACGGCCCAGCGCAACAGGACCTGGAGGGGGACAAAAGACCGAAGTGTTTGTGCTAAATATGTTATTTATTGAACACCGTGTGGGTGAGGCTGGGCCAAAAAGATGTTTATCAAGATGCTTTGTCTGAGTGTGTTTACCTGTGCGGGTGTGCGTTCACAGTTCTTTGCCACCTCCATGACCACAGGGTCGGCGACCAGTTCTCCTTTCCCTAAGGAGGAGTAGGCTTGAAAACACACCCCGCACTCGTCGCACACACTCCTCAGCTCCGTCTGGCACAGCCTTGGGTGAAACTCTACCTGAACAAATTAAAACACAGTCTGCATTGTTACTGCGTTTGTGTACTATTATGTACAGTACATTCTGTCCTCCTTTCACTCTCATGCGTTCTACCTGCAGCACCGCAGGAGGGATTTTGCAGCTCTGCATCAGTTCTCTCATGTGTGCTGGTGTGTAGTTGGACACTCCTATGGCCTTCAGCTTCCCCTGGGCATGCAGCTCCTCCAGTGTGGCCCAGCTCTGGGCTCGGTTGCCTGGAATCAAATATTAATTTGAATTTCATCATCAGTGTTACTCAAGTACAGCTACATTGTGGAGGAGGAAACTGAGAAGACGGCTTGAATCTTGATCTCTTAGAGCATTTATTTATAAAACACTTGATACACCTAGCCAAAGCACAGAGCTACTTCAAGCACTTCCATTTTTAACAGAAATGTACACACATACACTGCTATGTTTCTGGTGATATTTTGGTACATGAAGGAAAACACTGAATCGATCTGAACTCTTTACCTGGGTTGCGTTGGTCAGCCACTACCAGCCCCTGTGTGCCCGGCCAGTGGATCAGATAGAGGTCAATATAACCCAAGTCCAGCTGAGATAAGCTGTGCAAGGCTCCTTCCATGGCCCCCTCACCCTGATCCTTGGGGCCCAGCTTACTGCAGAGAGAATGATGCAATTTGTACATTGTGCCTTTGAGAGTCAAACTTCACTGAGCTTCAGTCATATGGTCTCAGAGAGAAAAAAATCATGTGATGTGGTGAATATGTTTCTTCCAGCTTTATTCAAGATCACATGCATGTTCATAGCACTGCTGTAACTAAAGAATCTTATTAACTATAATACCCAAGAGGTCCCTTAGTCACTGACATGCTGTGCTCTTTTGGAAAGTGTATATACACTACCTGGTTATGAATACATCCTGTCTGGTTAAGCCATGTTTGGGCAGGAGCTCCTTCAGGGCTCGGCCCAAGTCGGCTTCATTCCGGTAGACGGCCGCACTGTCAAAGGCCCGATAACCAGCAACCAGCGCTGCATCCACGGCCCGGTAGACATCTTCAAGACCCTGCAACTTATAGGTCCCCAAACCCACCAGGGGCATCTGAACCCCCGTATTAAGGAGGACAGACGGCGTAGTGGAGGAGGAGGACATCTGATCTGAAAGGGACTGCTTCTTTATAACCGGTTTGGACTATTTGGTCTATCCAACACTGTTAAAGAGGGGGAGAGAGTCGGGTGACAAATAAATGACAGATTTTCTTAAAGCTGGAGGATGTCATTTTTATAAAAAAATCACTTTGTCATATTTGCTGATACTTTCACTGTATCCAGCTCCTAATGGCATTTGCAAGAATCCACCGGGCCTGAACAAAGAACAAAGATGGGTAATTATCTGATTATCAACTATATTCAAGCTTCCAAACCAAAACATCTTATATTTCTCAGCTTTGATCAGTTGTTTTTATTCAGGCCCGTTGGATTCTTGCAAAGGCCATAAGGAGTGCTGGAACAAGCCAGAGTCAGCAGATTTTTTCATAGATGATGTGTCTCACGTACTACTGTCAGACTACTACAGACAATTTCAGCAATAATGACAACACTTTTATAAAAGTTATGTACTGCAGCTTTAATTAATACATATTAACAGTTGTATTGGGACTGGTACTGTGCTAAGTGGAGAAGTGGGCATGGCACATTTATTTCTGCAGGTTTTTAATTATGGCACCCTGTCCACCAGTCATTGTACAGGAAGGTCGTACTGTGTAAGGAGTACCAATGGTGTTACAATGTTGCATGGTTAAGAGGATGAGAGGTTAGTAGCTGTGGGTACAAACAGTGTCACAATGATGCACTGTTGAGAGAGAGACGTCACAATGCAGTGGAACCAAACACTGTATGATACACTCTTTCAGAACGCTGGAACATCCAAATGTAGCGTTAAGTGAGAACAGTGTGACAGATGGCGGTCATGGAACGTTGGCCGTACACACACTGTTACAATGACGCAGAGTTACAGCGCTATAACGTCACAGTACAGCTGTACGCGGCAGTGTTAACGTTGGAACGTCATGACGACATACAAACATTGTTACGAAGAGGCTACACTCACACTGTGCACGTCACAAAGCTGTGTAGCACTGTTACTATGACAATGTGAGAATAATCATTCGTTGTTAGACCTTGGACGGGCATAGCTGTGATGACGTAGGATTCATCAAGACATAGAAACGTCACAGTAACAAAGTCTAGCGAACAACGAGGGACAACCAGTGAACGAGGACGCCACCGGTAATAAAGATCTTCAACTCACCTTTTGGGCCCCTTCACTTGAATTATTTTTAAGCCGGGGAGCTTAAAAGTTGCAACAACCTGCCGCCAAGTCACATACAAAGGGACAATGTAAATGAAAGGGAATGCCACGAGTCAAAAAGGCAAACACAAACCTAACTCTGACTTTAAGCGTGGCACAGGGAGGAATGTTTACATCCGCCCCATTTCTGGTACACGTGGTCCGCTGACTGTCATGTGACAGTTTGGGCGGTTTTTGCCGGCACCATAGTGACACCTGCTCTGACGCCGCTGATTGGAAGAAGGTCTGGCTAATCACGAAGGGACAAGCGACCGGAAGGCGGGAATTCTCCCCGTCCGGCGAATCTGGAGGCGAGTCCCGCGTTTGATTGACAGTCAGGGCTTTAACTGTTGGCGTACTGTCGGAGAGTGAAGTTCGCTTGCGGGACGACCTACCAAGTTCATGCTCGCCATTTTCTGTAGACATTACGGTAAATTTAAGAGAGGGAGAGAGGGAGAGAGGGGGGGGAGAGAGAGAGAGAGAGAGAGAGAGAGAGAGAGAGCGAGCGAGAGCGAGCATAGTTTCTGAGTTTTTCTGAGAGTAAAGGCAGTACGCATCTTAGCTAACTAGCCAAACCAGCTCAACATTTTCAGATATGTGGACAGGTATTCTGTATTATCGATGTTTATTTCATAAATAAACATTTTATTGCCCCAACCACTGTAGGTGAGCCATGCCACTGCAGCCCTTCTCCTTCCCTTTCCCTGAAAGTCGATTCATCAAAGCTGGTCATTTTATCTACAAGTTCAAGATCAGAGGAGGCAGCAGCTACAGGCAAGGCAGACATTGTTCTTAACAGCCCCATATTTACACCTCATATCTAGTCCTTCCCCCATTGTCCTCTCTTTTGGTGAGCAGAAGAAGTATAATTTAAAAGCAAGATGAGACCACTGACACATCCCCACACAGTACAGTCTTGCTGTTTAACTGAAGGCTGAGCCTGACCATCCCAGTATTGGAAAGTATCTCTAGTTGCACATCCTGGTGGTCTTTCTCCAGATCGGCATATTCCAGTAACACCACTGGAGATTACAGTATATAACCAGGAATTAAATCATTTAACTGGTTGTGCTTTGTACCTGTGGACAAGCCTGAGTGAAAAGCGAAAATCATACAAGATCAAAAATTACTTTTTGAAATATTTTCAGAGCAAACTTGACACAGAGACTAGACTCTGGATTAAACAAGCTCAAACCCCTTAAGACAAATATAGTTAGATCGATGTCAAGATTAAATTTTTCAAAGCTTTGCAAAATGTTACTCAATCTCAAAAGCAGTTGTTGAGACCGCTGAGCTTCAGGCAAGAGAGGAAGCATTGATCTTTTTTTTCCATCTTAACTCCATTCTTTTAACGCTACTGCCTGTATTGGCTACCGTTATATGTTCTGATGTGTGTTACCTAAGCTTGTCTTGACATTTCCTTTCATCCTGAAAACAAGACGATCCAAGGTCCCACTGGACCTGTCTGCCTTTATTCAGGGATAACGTCCTAGAACAAGAATCCTAACTGATCCTTGAATGCCCTAAAGCTGCGTTTCCTCGCGCAACTGAAGAACACTCTTTTTATTTTAACTATACATAATATTTTTTTAGCATTCCAGTGTTATATCTTCTTTGTCAAAGCCTTATAATGCCTGTACTGCATCAGCAAAAGGCCTTCACTGACGTATATAAGGCCTTATACTGTAATAATCAGCTTTACAGCATTTGAAAAACTACTAATACTGTATAATAATATTTTAAGATACAAATGTGTTCTGAGCATACATATACTATAATGTGTATGACATATTTCATCAGTGGAGAGGAGGATTTGGGAGGAAACGGCTTCAATCAGGAACTGGAGGTAATTCTGGATACTGCTAGCCTTTACATTTGTTGTGTTGTGACCATATGTACTGTCAATGGTTGTGACTCACTGTCATTCACACTATTCTTCTTAAAATGAATTGTCTATTTTCAAAGCAAAATTACTCTTTAACTCTCTCTCTTTCTCTTCTTATCTGTTTTCAGGAAATTATCAGAGCTGTTCTGGGAAACCTGGACAGCCTGCAACCGTTCTCTAGTACCCACTTCAGTGTCTTCCCTTGTATCCTTTGCAGCTGGTGCACTATCCATCTGTGTTTTTATTTGCCTGTGTTTGTCACCATTCATCACCATACATCAGCACTGTATACCTCTCCACCACACTCCCGGCCTTTGTTACTGTTATACATGTGCACGTCTGTCACTAGTTCTCACCAACAGTACATCATATGTGAGATTTTGGTTGTGTGCCTGTGTTTTATGTAGCAAACTGTTAAGAATAACAGGGAATAAGACATAGTGCATGCTGGTGCTTTAAGTGTATGGTACTGTAGCAGCTATATATGTGTATTATCTTTAAATATGGATCAAAGAATACAGCTATATACTTACTAAATGCTTATTCACTACAAGTTGTCTGTATTTTATTAACTGTAACTACCAGATAAGAAGAACTGGGATGGAGTGTCTAAAGTGATGTGCGAACATTATGAGAAGAATTTAAAACCCTATCCGTTTACTCTTATCCTCTACCTGGAGAAAAACATGCAGAATGGTGAGGACGAACAAAACTCACAGCTTATCCAGTTGATGAGAGAGTGTTTACAGAATACACCCTCCTTGCAAATAATTACATGTTATCAGTACAAAGACATGCATAACTTGCACATTCATGATTGTCCTCATCAAGAAAGAGATAGGGTTCAACAGTAAGAGTGACACATACTGTATTATTCTTACTTAACTGATCCAGTGGTTTGTTTAATGTTAAAAGGCAGAAATCCAGGAAGGGGAGTCACAAAAGTGAAAATAAACTCATCCAGATTAGCTGTACATGCAGACGTGGTTTCCTGTGTGAAAGAGTGGTCAAGCCTGTGAAGCATAAACAGTCCTGTTAGTGAACACTGGCTGTGAGATAAAGAACAGACACAGTGAATCACACACAGGCAAACACAAGCTGCTACTACTCAAGCATGATGATCTCTTTCATGTATTTATCTTTTTTCAGGAAATCATCCAGAGAAGAAGTTGAGCCCAGTGAGTTGTTGTTCTGTTACACAATGTCCTTTCTCAACTCAGAGTTGCATGATACTGTATGTGTACCAAATATATTTGCCTTGCCTTGTGTGTACTATATATGTCCAGAGTTGTATAAAGATAAATACAATGTACACTTTATAGTATAACACTGTGCAATACAATAACACACCAGAAGGAGGTGCCAGACAATTATTATAGAGTCGAATCAACACCTCTCTGACAGCATCAATGAGAACTGAACATTACCAACTTATCAAAGGTGCAGTTGTTTGCAGGGCTGTTGTATTGCATTGTTTGATTTTGTACACCCTCAGTTGTGTACAAATGATATAGCTGATGCTGTGTATCATATACAGTAGTGCACTGCTGTGTGTTCCAGGAGAAGGAGGTTGCACAGCAGATCCCCTCTGTTTCTGAGCCGCAGTCAAAGCGCTGTAAAAAAAATTCACCACTAGAGGAGGCCCTACTAAAGGACTTAATCAGTGACATGGAGACTGAAAGCAAGGTCTCTGTGGTCAGGTAAGTGCTTTCTTCATCACTGTAGAACTAACCTGTAACCTCTATTTAACCTTAAGAAAACATGAATTTGTAGTTCTTGCAGTGTTCTAAGGAACCATCACTAAATGTTATGAAAATCTTTGCAAACAAATGTACGGGTTGACTAAATTTAGATTAAAAACGAAACCCTCCTTTGACCTTATTTATTCCCCCAAAGACTGCCTGATAGGGTTAGTGCTGTGCGTACATAAACACAGTCATAAAGGATCCAGCGTGAATTAACTTTGTGATTATGTTTTGAGTGTGTGTGTAGCTATGGAGGGTCTATATTTGACAAAAACGTAATACTTATTGTAGTTTTTGTCGTTAGTTAATAATCCATTCTCTCCCCCAGAGTTTGGCAATATGACAACAAATTCAATTAGACAATCTAACAATATAATTTTACATGGTAGCTATTCATTTTATATCTGTGTGTACAAGGCCAGCATGGGCATGTGTTGCAAATCACTGAACGAGGCTGTTTTGTCATTTGATAAAAGTGGATTTTTTTTCTTTCTATACGATTCTATCAGAATCTTTCATTCCTATCTGGTTTTTGTATCCATAAAGTTTCTCTGCAGGAAATCTACTATATCACAATATATATCAAATTTGCACTATAATGTTGTATATGCATGTAAGAGGATTTTATCCACACTAGGGCTGCAACTAACGATTATTTTCTTTATTAATTATTCTGTTGGTCGTTTTCTCAATGAATTGATTCGTTGTTTGGTCAACAAAACGTCAGAATATGTTGAAAATCCATCTCCCATAGCCAACAACAACAACAGGTGATGTCCTCACCTTGTTGTTGTTGTTTGATATTCAGTTTACTGTCATACGGGACTAAAGAAAGCAGGAAATATTCACATTTGAGAAGCTGAAATCAGAGAATTTGGACATTTGTTCTTAAAATTACTCAAAACGAATAATCAATTATAAATATAGTTGATGATTAATTTGATAGTTGACAACTAATCTATTAATCAAATAATCGTTGCAGCTCTAATCCGCACTCTTACTCTAAACCCGTTCAATAGAACAGAGAACAGTGACAGCAGAGCTACAGCATGAATTATTGGCTTCATCGTGGATCACAGTGTGCTGTAATGTATATTGACAAAAGATACACACAGCTGTCATTGCTTATTGTCTTTATTCCTCTTGTCTTTATAATGTGCCACTGAACACGGTGGGAGCAGTAAGGAAGCTTGTTTATTCTAGCATCATACACATCCACACACACCTGCATACACAGAGCAGAGATGGAAATATGTGTTCTTATTCATAAAATTACTGAGACATCCATTCTGACAACTACCGTGTTTCACATACACACACACGCTTCAATGATTCTTGCAGTTATGAAACAGACAAGAGGCGAACGGGCGCCACCTCAATCACACTGACAGTCAGATCAGTGAGGCGAAAATTATTATTTAAAATGCACACACACACACACACACACACACACACACACACACACAAACAAGACTTTGCCCTCCACCTAGTTTATGTATTTAACTTATATAAACAGAATTGTCTCCTTCTTTGAGCTTGAGGAACACACATTCAGATGCACAAACTGTGTAAACATCCTGCAAACAGCAGAGCCCCGAGCATCATTACCAGTTCACAGGAAATCGACTTTTATTGAGCAGTTCTCATTGAATTATATTCACCACATTGACCATTACGCTTACATGTCCTTACAAAGGTGCTGCACATAAATACACAAACAGCAGTTACACGTTCACACACACCGTCAGCAGTACGTGACCTTTCTGTTTCTCAGAGGCTTCCTACATACTGCTTCATCACTGAAGGCATTCAACGGTGTGTGTGTGTGTGTGTGTGTGTGTGTGTGTGTGTCTACATGATGCCCTGGAGAGACAGATGGTTTGTTTTTGTGTTAAACCTGCTGGAAAAATGAGAACAGAAAAGAATGAGTTTAAAGGAACAAGTGTGGACGTAGAACGGACAAAAAATGACAGCTTTCATATTTGTTCTCAGCACTTTTTTCTGTTCTGCTGTTCTTGACTATGATGCAATTTATATTCTCTACAAAATGGACAGGCAGTACTTTAAAGCTGATTTCTGATCTATTTTATTGGTGGAAAACTGAATTGTCTGGATTGAGGGATTTTGAAAAGTTGTCATCCACTGGTGGGTTATAGAGGGCTAAAATGCTTGACGTCCAGGTCATTTGATGATAAAATGGAAGAATAACATCTTTTTCTCTACTCTCTGTCCGACTGGATCAAGATAAGGGCATTGATTGGACTTCTTCTCCAGAAGAGAAATCCTGCCCTTGTGCACTTTATCCACTTCTCTTTCTCCTTGAGGGCCTGCTGGCTCTCATGTAGCACCCTGAGGAGACAGCTGGTGCCCAGTCTGGATCTGGGCAGCCATGACCACGTGCTTGTCTGCACGGCCGGCAGTAGCTCAGTCTGGGGGAACTTGGCTTGGAAACCGGAGGGCTGCCAGTTCAAGTCCAGCACAGACCACAATATGCAGTTTGGACTGGAAGCTGGAGAAGGGCCAGTTCTACCTCCTTTGCACTGCCGAGGTGCCCTTTAGCAAGGTACCATACCTCTAACTGCTCCTGGAGCAGCGTACGTGGCAGCCCATCACTCCTCCATCTCTCCACATTAACATATCTATACGCCCTGTCGGTGCACGATTGTATTTTAGGCCTCTGTGTGTGTAAACATCTGCCTCCAGCTGAACCAGAAACTTCTCCTCTGCCTCCTTCCTCACTCAGTAGAGTTTAATCAAACTGTTGTCCACTTTGAGGCAGGCCTCCTCTGCATTGTTCTCATTATCCAGAACCTGAAGCTGCATCCTTGTCTTATTCTGTTGCTCAGGGCCATTTTCTGTGGAGTACTTGGTTCAGTTGTTTTCAGCCTGATGGTCTGCCACTCTATGACCTTTAGATGTGTAGAAAGCTCTGAGGGCTGTAGCCAGCTGCTGAACTTTCATGGCCCTCTGCAGCTGTAGCTCAGCCATGGTTGGTCAGTTCTGACAAAGCTTTGCAGTTGATGAGCTTTGGCTCCTAAATATTTTGGGTGCTCTGTTGAATAGATGGATTGTTTTTTATGCTGTCTTGGATTTGAGAAACACAGTTATTGAAGATATTCTTGTGACTGACTAATAGTGGACTTCAATCCAACAGACAATCGTTGATGTCGTTTTATATCACCAACACGTAACTAAAGGCAATAATTTCATTGTGTGGCATAAATGTCTTCAACAGACCTTCCTGTATAATTTATTTTATTATTCTGACACACAAATTGAGTGATCTCCAAAAGACACAAAGTTTAAGGGCAGAAACTGAGATTGTCAAGCATCATCCTCTCTGTCTTTATCTAACGTTATTCATTTCCAACAGAGCAGCCTTGTTCCTTTAATGTGTATTCACAGAAGTATTGGTATTCTCAGATTAGTGTAAGAATCAGAATAAATAGGACAGTATGTAGGTTCTCTGATTACCACCTCATAAACATAAACATCAAGAACAGAAGTGTATTTTAAGATAAACTGAAACATTCCTCATGTATTTGACTTGTATAAAGTAGAAGTAAATGGCAATCATTTGTAAAGCAGTAATTGTTAAAATTAGAATAAATTTGGTTGTGCCCAACTTCCAACAGGCTGCACATGGACAATCCACATGCAGGGGAGGGAGTCAAGGAAGATCTGAGACATGCTGACAAGGTGATCCTTTTCATTTATTCATTAAGTTCAGTCGTTGACTCATCACATTTAACTGGTTAAATGATTTGTCACCCTCTTCACTGTCAAATGAAGAGGTCATTTAAGCCCACGGTTGTTTCGAATTAATTGGTTCCAACGATTCATCTTCCAGTTTCAATCTCACAACACCCTTTCGTTTCCTCTCTACCGCAGATATAAACACACACACTTGTAGCATTTCTGTCTTTATTGTAGCCCCGGGCTAACATTAGCGCAGACAGGTAGGATAACAAGTGTGATTAAGGTTAATAATAGCATTACATCAGACAGAGAGTGTACGTGTTTCTGTGTAATTGTGTGATTGTGAGAGAGCGTGTGTTTCTGGTGATGTGCTTCAGTTTGATTAGCAACAAAGTCCCAAAATTACCCTCCGCCCCACTCTATTTTCCTCTATGGCCCTTCATCTCATCTGATCCTGTGTAGGGTTGTTTTTTTTTTTACGCTTGTCCACTCTGACTTCTTTTTCTACCCCTTCCTTCTCTTGCTTGGTTTTTCCCCCTCACATTTGTTTCAAGTGGAAAAAATGATTTAAACTTATTTTCTGAGAAGGAAGTGCCAACACAAGTCTACAAGCTTTAAAAAGGATTAAGTTTCAACAATGAAGGTGATCATTAAGCATATTTTCAGATTGCACAAACAAACTCAAGAGAAGTTTAGTCGAAAGGCCGATGTTGGGTTTTCAAATTTATTCTTTTTATATATATTAATTCCGTTCAGATTCAAGCTCATAAAGACACTTTGACACTGAGGCAAACTGACTGTTGGCTAAGCCCCCAGCACTCATCGGTACCGTTGCTACATCCATCAAGTTTCCATTCTAGGCACAGTTTACCATGATAAATGACAACGGGTCCTCGACTCAAAAAGGAAGTAGACAAAAGCTGTCTTCTTATAGTCAGCGAGCGTCAATTTAAGATGTAGTTAGAATATTTTATTAGCTAGCTAACTAACTAACATCAACTCCATGAGTTAGTTGGAAACTCCAACCATGGTGTCATTTCTGCACATTCTTGCTCCTGTTAAAGACACAAACTCTTTTTTTATGGAGTATTACTGTTACTACAGCCCCATTCCCAGTGCTTCAACATGTGGAGAAATCCAAAGATACAGCAGTTACAGTTGCAAAGCTATGATTGGACAGTCGCTCTTCAGTCGAGTTACGAATGGTCAGTTCAATTAAATTCATATTCTTATTTTAACCTCTTCTAATCTGCCCCAACAGAAAGGGACCAAGGAATCTGACGAACAGAGATCAGGTGTCAGTACGATCAGAGGAAGTGGGACTCCAGGTGAAGTGCATCCTGGGACAAATCAAGACATGGGAGACGAGGAGGACGAGGAGGACGAGGAGGACGAGGGCAGTGAGCAGGAAGAAGATGCAGACCCTGGGAAACCTGCAAAGTCAGGGATCCTGACTCGACTGGCCAGGTTGGTATGAGGGCCCAGTGGGCAGTGTGGTCAGGTTCAGAGCAGCCAACCGTAGACAGCATCCTGCTAGCATGCTACAAGCTAAATCTGCACAATTAATCATCAGATCAGCAAATCTGCACACAGCAACCCATGGAGATTATGATGATGTAATTGTGTTATTTATAGATTTGATTGAGTTTTACACCCATGGGAGAAAAAAGAGCTAATTGGTGCTGTACACCTGAAAGAATAAAGTTGTCAAAGATTAAAATGGATTGGGGAAATCCAGCTATTATAAGCACTTAAATCACAATATTCCTGTGAAACGTCTGTTGAGACAAGCTGAGACTGCCAGATGTCCTTAGGCTCATAGAAGACTGACAAAAGTATCTCCTTTGTTGTTGAAAGAACACGATCACAATGTTCTTATGGTTATAATGACATACAGTAGCAGCTTTTTGGACTGTAAGAGTCTGTCTTTCTCTTTGCAGCCACATCTTCCCCTTCTCCTTGTTCTTCAGAGACCCCTGAGAGTCGTGGGACAGACAGGAGGTGTTACTGGTTCCATTAGTGGAAACTTACTGGGGTTTATTCTACACTGAGGAACAAAAAAGTGTTTCACAGATCTGTTTCCCCCATTGATCTTTTATATTAATGTCGGCAGTGTTGTTCTCACTGCGCTGCGATTTCTCCTTTTGTTCTCTTATCATACATTTGATGTATTCTATTGCCACAGAGTTGGAGGTTCTATTTTTTTCAAAAAAATAAATATTATTTTCTTATTCCATTCATGGTTGTTTTTTATGTTGTTTTGTATATAGATTATGGATGGAGACGTGGCTGTCAGTTCGTGTCATATCATAGCACCAAGAGCAATAAGTGAGCTTTCTCTTTCTTTCTTATCCTATAGTTTTCTTGGACTGAACTTCCTTCTGCACTCCCTGATTTTATAGATGTCATAGATATTATTACTTCTGGATCTACTTTCAGGGTTTTTCTTCCCCTTAATGTCTCAGGTTAGCATCTTCGATTCTGCCACATTTAGCTTTGCTTTCATATTCTGTGACCCCGTCTGCACTTGATTTTTTTTCTCACACTTTTCATTTGCTCTCAGTTTAGATACTTTTCTTAGTCTACACTAATTCAGAGTAATGTGGTCACCCAAGCTTTTCTCCAATCAAACCAGCATTTTTTTTTTAACGACTGAATTCCTACAAATGCTCTACAATAGTAGATTCCTTTTTTACATCCCACATAATGTATATATAATGAGTAATTACTCTGCATTCATCATGTTTTGTGTAGTTTTAGGGTCTGTAATGTAAAACGTGAATGAGCAGGAACACATTCCAAGGCTTTATTCTGGTAAATCTTGTAGACAATGCGGCTCTTTCTTAAATTTTAAAGAAATTTCCTCTCCCGTGTGAGTGTGTGTGTGTGTGTGTGTGTGTGAGTGTGTGTGTGCGTGTCTTCATTAAGTGCACACCTTGAGCTTCAGTGAGTATCACCTTGTGGAAACTCCACTTTCCTCCTGTCAATCTAAATTAGCTAAATGTTCTACCTGTTTGTGTCTGTCTGTGTGTGTGTGTGTGTGTGTGTGTGTGTGTGTGTGTGTGTGTGTGTGTGTGTGTGTGTGTGTGTGTGTGTGTGTCTGTGTGTGTCTGTGTGTGCCTGTGTGTGTTGCAGTTGTATATTTAGGGCCAACCAGTCAATAATATGCAAAAAAAAAAACATTTAATAAAATAAAAAAGTTATCGATTAACTCAAAAGTGACGTGTGTGTGTGTGTGTGTGTGCATGCGTGTATCCATGCTTGCATGCATGTGTGTGTTTATATATGGGGGTAAATGGGTCAACTGGACTGAAACATCATCTTAGAAACAGGAAAACTTTGCCTAATCCTCTCCATATATTGTCATAGAGCCCAAAATAACACACACATAATTTGCCTTACACTCACATGTACTTACACACTTTGACCACACACACACAATATCCTGTCAGACATAATGATACACACACATTCATCATATACTTTCATTCACACACGTACTGTACGTACACACACGTACACACTGAGATTAAAATAACAGGGTAGAAGTGGAAGCGGACACATTAATGATATTATAGTTATTCAAGACGCCACGGTTTCCACGGCAGCCGAGAACGACGGGGCCACTGAGCGATACAAACATCAGTCACCCCGCTGAGTCACACTGGGGTGTGTGTGTGTGTGTGTGTGTGTGTGTGTGTATTTCAGCGACAAGAGTCTCCAGTTAAGTTCATTCACGTCTAACTGTCTCCTGATGAGGTGCTGTAGGCCATTCAGATTTATAGTCTCTCCCTCTCCTTCTCTCTCTCTCTGGTTGGCATGGAATCAGAAGAAACACACACTGCGACTCACAGTCAACACACTAATAGTTTTGTGTGTTTGTGTGTGTGTAGGTGGGGGGTTTAGGTGATGATGTCACACATCCCGTTTTCCATTGACATAACTTTGGGAATGTTTGGGGTAGAGGGGCCATAAGATGATAATTGTGTTTTCCTTAGGAGGTGTGTGTGTGTGTGTGTGTGTGTGTGTGTGTGTGAGAGAGAGAGAGAGAGAGAGAGAGAGAGAGAGTGTGTGTGTCTGCCTGCTGCGCTGGAAGCCATAGCATCCATCCTGAATCAGTGATTAAGTGACACAACCTGTTCTCTAGAAAAATGGTTTGAAAATGTGAATTAACAAAAATGCACAGAAGTGTCGGGACACCTGAGTTGTTAACCAAAACCCTGTATTTCTCACTGTGGTGCAGAAAGAGGGTTTAAAGGATAAGGTTGGCATTATTCTATATTTTCTTATCCTATTGTCAACAAATTCCATAAAAAGATAAAAAACAAGAAGCTCATTAGTTCCTACTGAGGACATAAATAAAGGACATAAATCCTTCAAAACAGTTCCCGAAATATATGGTTTCATTCCTGAAAAACAGCTAAGCTCCTGAAATACCTGGTCACTGTAGTTTTAAGCAAACGTTACTCAAACACCAGAAAAGATTGGATTTGTTGGGGACTATTTTCATTGGTGGATTTATACACATTCGGCAGCCAAGTGAGTATTTACAGCAGGATGTATGTGGGTTTAAATGTACACTACTTTTCAACTATTATTCCAAATATGGCAATATTCCTAATTTGATGTAAAAAGCATATTCTTCTATTCTTTAATATGAATGTAGCATTTTCTGATTAAAATGGAGGATATGCCGATATTATTAATGTTTAGGACCATTCTGCATGTATACAGCCCCTTCGGAATATGTATATGTTGACAGTATATATAGCCCAAGGTCTCAATTGTTTTTACCACAGTTTGTGACACATGACATAACAAACCAGACTAGTCAACTGTAAGTCTGGTGTCGAGATGCAAAAACCCAGATTTTTTGGCATAAAGAGAAACAAACCTACTTTTAAAGATTATAAAAGACTTGGTTTCAACAGGTATGTGGATATATTTAATCCTTGGATGTGTGCAAATATCGTAACGAGACATTTCCGAGAAATTGCTTGAACGAATGAAGGAGGTAGGCTGTGTCCGCCACCGGGAGAAAATCTATTTTAACCAATTTTTTATAGACATAGGATGTACTTCATTACGTTAACTTAAACAGGAATATTACTATTTTCATTTTCATTGAACATGTAACAGCTTAATAGGAATATTGTCTTTTTTGTAAAGGGCAACTTATTATTTTGTGTATTTTGTGTAATATTTTGTCAGTGTTACTCATTGATGTGTTTTTAAACCACAATGGAGTTCTATGGCACAGAGGAATAAGATGTATCAGGCTTTGTCTACAAAGGCAATATTATTGTCTCAAAAGTTTGATTTTCTGAAAACAAGTGAAAAAGTCTTTTTCAAGCAAGCAAAGCAAATCAACTCAAGTCAAGTGGATTTTTTCTTGATTCTAGCCCATTATTCTCACTCTTTTGTAGATTTTTTTAAAAACAACAAAACAACTTCATTTCTATTTCTACAGTTTGCAGTGTTCTTGTTGCATTGACAGATGTCAATTGTTACCTGGATGAATTATTGAGGTCATAATGAGCATCTGCTGTTTGTATTTCTGAAGGGTACAAGACATACAATGAAACAATGGTGATTATTGCATCTGGGATCCAACCAAAGTACAGAAAGTTAAAACAGAATGTGAGTTTGAACCGTTTGCACTGGTTCAACGTCCTGCTGCTGTTTTTTGACTGTGATTTTATCGTTTAGTGAGTTCCTTAACTTCTTGAATCAATTCTGCTGGCAACTTCAGTCAAAGACAAAGATAGCCGAGTCCTTTTTTTTTATGGGCCAGTATCAGCGAGCTTTACAGACCGACAGCAGCAATGATTCCCAACTCAGCCCAAACTTTCTAGGAAGACATGGAAAAACTCATTGAAAAACCAAAAACACTGAAGTAACCACAGAGGGCTGATTCTGATTCTTGCTGTTCCAGCAAGTTAAGCCATTTGTTCCTTCACCCTGAGACCCAGTTTCTTGTGGTTACTTAGAGACCTATACACAGTAATCTGTGGTCTGATCTGGCAGTTTGTGACCTCTGTGACATGTCACTGTATGTCCAGATACTGCTGCAGTGATCTATGAGTCTATTAAAAGAGTCTTTGCCCGCTGGAGTTTGGACAGGGTGGTTGCTATGCTGATTTCCTCTGTTCAAGACAAGGATGACGAGAAGCAGAGCCAGCCGTTCCCCACAGTATACCCATCATGTGCCACACACACACACACACACACACACACACACACACACACAGATTTGACCCAAACCCACAATATCTTCTGACCCGACCCTGCCCTTCCTTCTGCAGCCACAAATGGAAAACCCAGGCAAACTTTGTGTGTGTGAGGTCTCCCATTCAGTGTATTTATTAGTTCACTTGTAGTGTGTATCAACTGGCAGCTGAGGGCCTACAGTATTATTTTTTGTGATTTTGCACACATGCATACATACACAAGTGTGCTTTTTCTGTGTGTGCGTCTCTGTGCAGGCGTGTGCGGAGTGAAGCTGTGTGTGTTCTTACTATTGTGGCGGTGCGTTGATGGAAAACCTATCTAGTTTTCCTCTGTGTCACAGCAGCAGTCCCCCTAAAGGTTTAAAACAGAGAGCGAGGAGGGGGAGGGCGGAGGGACAGAAAGATGGTAACACACTCCAGGAGAAAGACGTCTCAGAAAGAAGTCGATTTTAATATTTTTTGGAAGAATTTCACTGGGGGTTTTTTTTTTTCAGGTGGAAAGAGTGAAGGAGATAGAGAAAAAAAAGATTCACACACTCTCACACGCTCTCTGATTGTGGGTGTGTCCACAGCTATAAGTACCTTCACTGTTACCTGTGTTACTTATATCCCTGCATGAGGCTCAGAACAGACACACTGACACACACCTGTCAGCCGACACACCTGCCCTGCACTTGAGAAGCTGCGCTCTGCTGTACGTCTTCAGGTAAGACTGAGCTCCTTTTTACGCCTGGAATCAAATGTAGTTCATCGGTCTGTATGTTGGTGGAATAGACCTTTAAATCCTGCGATTGTTCTGTGACATTTAGTCTGTCATCTAGTCTTTGTTGCTTACTTATGGTCTTTTTACACATGAAGAGAATTCTGTTCTACAAGTTGTATATTTGGGGAAAATACAGCTTTAACCCTTTTATATCTCCTTGTATTTCACATTTCTTTACATTCTGATTCTGCAGACCTTTTATATGTGTTAATACTTGAGCTGTTAATGTGTAAAAATATTACCATTTTGACAAATGAGTAAATTGGCCATATTAATAACATTTACTACTACAGAAAATAGATAAATAGATAAGTTTTGCTGTATTTGGGATTTTATTTTGAAACTCATCCCTACTCAGCTGACTTTTGCTTTCAAGACAATACACATTTTTATAAAACTAAGCATTGTTGTTATATAGCTGATTGACTATATAGATCATTCTTAAAAATATATGACAGGACATAAGATGAGACTAAATGTGTCTCCATTGAGTCCTTTATGGTATTTGTAGAACATATTTTCCCTGCAATTGATGCTACTTCAAATAAATAATTAAATGACACCTCACTGGCGTTGTTCAGTATTATGTAGAATTAGTAGAAAGCTCAGGCACTTGTGTGTAATGACGCAGATGTCCACTACTAATATATATATATATAATAACAGCAATTATATAGTTTGTATATAAAATAAAATGGTCTGCTCTACTAATGTCTGCATCAGCACCTGGTCTCAGCTGAACTGTTCAAACCATGTAAGTGAAACTTAAGAGAATGGTGGATAATTTGGGTGATTTACATTAAAGTATTTCCACCTCTCACTTGCCAAAGGTACAGTAATGTCATAGTGTTTCCAGAAAAACAATTATGTCCAAACGTAGTTCCTTTTAATGTATTCTTTTAAATTGTATGCACACATTAAAGTATTTTAAAGGGCAGTACTGATAACATTATTTTGATAAGGTGTTTGTGCGTATAGGATTTTATTTGCAAGCACTTTAAGGATCTTAACTTGTCAGGGAATATGTTCTTTAGTCTATTTTGGTGGTCTTGTTCACCTGCCCTCCCACTATCAGCAGCGTGTACCGTATTACAACCCACTTTCCTAGAAGCCAAACCAACCTTCAGGCATGGAAACCCCACATAAGAGGAAAAAGCCGGGCATTTCCCCTGCCCCATCAGCTGACACGGGGTTAATGGCCTCACACACACACACACACACACACACACACACACACACACACAGCACTGACCTGTTAATTTGGTCGTGCCAGCAGCGTTAATGGCGTCCCAAGGGCCGTTCCACCTTCACCACAGCGGCAATTCCCATCGCTCCAGTCAGAGGGAAGCGGAGCTGGAAAGAGCTGCCATTTTAGAGGGGCAAGGGTCAGGATCACCACATTCCCAGGAAAACATGACTTTATTGTTTACACACGTGTTGGAGTGTGTGTGAGGGGTTCATGAGCATGTGCGTACATAGACACCCACTCATGCATGCATATGATATACCTGTGTGTACGTGTTGAAAGTGAAAAACACAGATGCACACAGGATTCTCTATTTTAAAGACAGACTTTTATTCATAGATGGTATATGACTATGGGACTGCTGCTGCGTGTACGTTTGCACAACCTTAAATTGTGTATGTATACGTGTGTCAGCAGGCAGCTGTTAAATGAGCCAGATTGAAAAGATGAAGGCAGTATTGTTTTTATTCACATTAGCTGTTACTCAGCTGAGTGACACACAGGCAGACGTGCAGGATGGGAAACCACCTTGGTAGATGACGGCGGGGGCTCTGGGCAACACTTTGACTTAAGGGTAAAGTTCAGCAGGAGAGGATCACCTCAGGTTGAGTGAAAGCTCAGTGTTCAAGGTGTAGGCTTCTGTAGCTTCTTCAGCTCAGAAAAAAAGATTATTTAAGGTCTTGATTAGATCACTGGTTCCCCACCTTTTTGACTGTTCCTTTTTTAAAGATTGTTTCCTTTTATTTGTTTTAAAAGTCAACAGAGGTCAGACATTAACGTATTTCACAAGAAAAAAAGCAAAGGTTTGAGAAAAGCCCAAAAAATAAACATTACGTTGGGTAGTTTAAGATCTTTCATCTGACCCCCAGATGGATTAAGTCATTCGATAGACTTCAGTGTTACTGTGTTTCTCCCACTGACCAACTTAGCTCCATATATGTGTGTGTAATACAATGTCATACAAATATTTTACATATATGCATAGAAACCGCTTAAAGTCAGGTAAATGTTTAGAAATGTCAAGTTTTTCTCATCTTACATATTTGGTGTTGTGTTTGGACCCTCCAGGCTGCCATCCAGATGTCGCCGTGCATGACCTCACATTTCTGCCTGCTGGTCCTACCAGTGATGTCACTGCTGCTGCTCTTCTCTCCTATTGGTTGGAGCTACGATGGCCTCACCCCAGGGTGTCACCTACACCGTGAGTAACACACACAGTTTTATAAAAAATGTGCCCACAGTGTCCCCAAAAACAACAAAACATCCATTTCTGTGCATATTTTTTCAGTTTTTGACAGGAAGTAAGTTTATGGGAAAGTGGCCTTGAGAACAGCAGCGTCATTCTAATTGAGAAATAACTATCAGCCTCAAGTGTCTGCTGCTTATATTGATGCATCTTAATGCATCCCAAACATTCGCACACATACTGCACGTCACTTCCTTCAACCTCGTTCATCCCTCTGTCTTCTCTTCAATCTCCAGCCTTCAATGTGAGCATTCGCAGTGACCGCCGCGGCACATGCAAAGGCACCCACCTGGTCTACGCCTGCGTGGGCTACTGCGAGTCCAGCGCCTTCCCATCCAGATACTCTGTGCTGGTGGCCTCCAACTTCACCCACAACATCACCTCCGCCTCACGTTGCTGCACCATCAGCAAGGATGCTAAGGTGAGGGGGGGGGGGTGCCATGCCATCGTTCCGGTGGCCCATTATTCTGAAACCCCAAATAGTTCGAAATGTGCCCCATTGGACCCAAAGCCCATTGCTCCGAACGCCTGTTCTGAAAAGACACACTGATATCACCAACTTACGTTCATAACTTAACTGACATAACTAACGTATTTATTTTAACAATAACCACGTGTTTATTATTGTTAACATGACAAGAAAGGTCACCTGACTTCATCTTCCTGTATGTCCAAATACACTAAGGTATTAAAAATACTCCAGGCAGAGTGTGTATTTTCAGAAGAACTGGCTTTTGGAGCAGTGGGCTTTTGTTTTTGGGATAAAGGGCTGTAAGACAAATGGGCTTTTGGTCCAATTGGACTATTGGGGTTTTGGAATAATGGCTGTCTCTGAGGGGAGGGAGGTGGTAAATGAAAAGAGGGGTTAACATCCTCTAGTTTTGATTATTCATGCTGGTTGTTAATGTCCTCTGGCTCGTCTTCCCTTAGGTCAAAGTTCGCCTGGACTGCCCCCGAGGTCGTCACCACGACGAAATAGAGATCCTGACAGCGAAGGCGTGTCGCTGCGACATGTGTCGCAAGTCCCGCTACTGACACATCAAATGTACCACCCAATGTACACCAGAGTAAGAACCAAATTACAGTTTTGTCAGTTAAGCGGTTCAAACTTTGGTAAATGATATAAATACAAGATTCTCAGTGATGTAACAGTAACTATCCTCTTTCTCCTTTATCTACGTCGACTTGTTATGAATGTTGAAAAAAATCATCAACAAAAATAACTTATTTAACTGAAAACTAATCAGCCTTCTACCAAGTTATCATCACCAGGGTTTCCTTCATTTGGGTTCTCAAATAGGACAGGAAGGTGGGCGGATCAGGCAGAATAAACCCTGCTCTAGAACAGTGCCTTAAAGTTAAAATGGGAAATTTACACTTCTTATGTCTATAAAGATATGCTGTTTGTGTGAGTGTGTGTATGTATGTGTGTGTGGTTGTGTTAAATGTGATGTAAGGGAGGTTTTTCTAGAAAACTTGATTGACACACGTTTGTGTTAAAGCGTGTATAAAACCATTCTGTCACTCATACTTCAAACAAACTGAACCTTTTTATTTTTTTTATTTTTTTTGCTTTGAGGCTTGGCAGACACTTGACTTTCTAAGCAGCTATAAATAAAAGACTTAGTCACACTACCTTTCATACTTAGTATGCAGTAGCAAGTGTCAGTAAACAGAGACTTCAGGATTGTAATTAGTCAAACTCACGACCCAAAAACACAGATTTTAACATTTTGAAAATATGCAAAATGAATGAGAACATTACATTACATTTAAGACAGTTACATAATCTCTTCATTGACATGCATTAAACATAAAAATCAATATATTGTCAACCTTTGGAATCAATATAAAAGTCATATATACAACTAGGGTCATTCCTTGCAATAACCACTAAACACAGACAAGACACCAAAGAATGTACAACATTTATTTATATTTATGGATTTGAACTAAAGGACATTTGTAAATAATATCTATTGATGAAACCAAAGAATGTTGGAAATGTCAATTAAATGAAAAAAGAAAGAATGCACTGTATAGTTTGTGATGAAATTGTATTTCAATAAATTTCTATTCTGCAACTGTAAAGTACTTTATGTGGACATTTGATTTTCTTCTCACTTTACACACACACTAACTTGTTTCCATTACTTAAGGCAACATTGCATTGACTTACATTCATTCCCTGGTGACTAACCCTTAACCATGACCACTACATGCCTAACCCCAAAACTAACCCTCACCTTAACCTGAAACCATGTCTTTAGTCTTTTAATAATATACGTTGTGGGGACTTGCATTTTGTCCCACATATGACTGTGGGCCCCCAACGACCTCACCACCATTGTCTCTCTGTACAATGTGTACGTCTTATGCCAGCTTCAAGTAAACAAAATTAATTTTAAACAGATCTATATAGGAATATTCAACATGTGAGCAGTGATGCCGCCAATGTGTGGCCACAGGGGGTCACAGCCACCCTGATACCATCTACCTGATACCCCCACTGGCCCCCCTTGCCCCCTTACTTCTGAGTAATGAGTACTGCATGCACTACATGTGAGTGCAATATAAACTCACATAATGAAGATATTGATTAGGTATCATAGTAAAACTATTTTTTTAGCCTCAATATTAATACAGGCCCCAGTTGAATTATAATTTATTGGTGAATATCCCTGAACAGAATTGTATTTTATCTCATAACAGTACACTATACACACACTAAGGATGCAACTTTTAGACCCCTGACCGAGGGTGTAGGGCCTCAGCGAAGTTGTCTGCTTTGCTTTGTTGGTATTCAACTCTTGGTACACAGATATAGTTGAAATACAGACTGTATATAAAGCTAACCTTATATATTATTTTCAGCAAATGTTTTTATCTGCATGTTGCACAGAACTCTTATCTTGAAATGCAATGCCTGATCTGTCATTTCTCCTTTCTTAGACATATAAGTATACACGCACAGTCTTCAGGTTTTGGTTTGGTCTCTTTCTTTCAGGGCTTTTTCTGTAATTAAATATGAACCTCTTGCTAATATTGCAGGCAGTGCTATAACCCCCCCCCCAGAAACTCTCACACTTACTCAAATGTCTCAATATCATACTTTTATTGAGTCATTCATGTCAGTAAGACTGTTAATAACATTGTTTGCTGAAAGCAGAGTCCTGCCCATCAGAAGGTCTCACACTCTGTGTCCTGTGTGGAGCAGACGGCACAGTGGCACTGCAGAGCCATGGGATAGTGGTAGAGAGGAGAGACGTTGGGCTGGCAGCCCGGCAGGCGGGCGGTCATGTGGCGGGTATGACTGTACGTACACACGCGGTGGTGGCGGTGAATATAAGGGGGATCCGGTACAGGTTTCTGCAGGATTCACAGAGGTTGTATACAGAGGCATACACAGGTTACTTTGCTCTCCATTGATAGCAATGTCCTTTTGTTGCGTATTGTTTTCCCATGAACCAATAAACAGAAATTCTGGGACTGGGTTACAATTCATGTTAGAAAAAGGAAAGATTTAATAATTTTACTACTACGCTGTGTTTCCTGTAACTTAAAAGATGGTTATGGGTGACACACAGTAAAGGGCCACAGGTTGGATATGAACCCAGGGCCACTACAGCAGGGACTCAGCCTCAGTACATGGGACACCAGCTCTACTTGATGAGCTACTAGTTACTGCTATTATTAAAGTGAAAAGTTAATCTTAAAATACAAACATATAATTTTCTCTGTAACTCAGGGTCTACATCCTAGCTCTTGCCTGAGCTTTCAACCACATCTCACTGTCTTCTGCGGAAGGACCTCTGTGGATGCAGTTGAAAACTGCCCTTGCAAAAAAAAAGTTATAAAAGCTTGTATATAATGAACATTATATTCAGTTTCTGCCAATAGATCCTCCTAAACGTTACAAACTGGACCTTTGAGTTAAGATTTTGTTTTACATTTTTTCGAATTGACCTCCTACCAGTGTGACTGACTCAGCTCTGTTGTTGCTGATTCAGAGCTCTTTCTGCTCTACAGGCTTTGAATTTCTAACCCTAAACTTGGTTTTTCAATTACTTAGAGCTGAAATTAGAATCCTTGCAAACTAGAACGAGTTCAGTAAAGGTTCAGTAACTTGGAGGGATCTGAGCATGTCTTATGACAATGGCATATGGGTAAGAGCTGAGAATGGGTCGTCGGCCTTCTTGTGGTCTGGGTTGAGTCCTGGGTCATTAATCATTTATTTGGTGTTTCACAATACCAGTTTTATGGAAGCTCTCAGAAATAGCTACGGAAAAGAGTGGGACTCACAACGTTGGCTAAATGGAACTGATGTTCTGTCACTTTACTGTGTGTGTGTGTGTGTGTGTGTGTGTGTGTGTGTGTGTGTGTGTGTGGGGTGTGTGTGTGTGTGTGTTTGTATATGAATGTTACCTCCCAGGTGTAACAGCGCCCCCAGCAGGCCTCGGTGGTGATGCGCAGTCCCTTGCAGCCGGGCTTCTGGGCCACAAAGGAGAACTCTCGCACAGCGCAGCCTCGGAAACCATGAAGTGAGGTTGTCACGGTAACGCACACCACAGCTGTCCTGGCAACCAGGAGGAGGAGGACAGAGAGGGACAGGGTATGGAGATGCATGCTGGGAATGATAGGTAGAGTATATCATTATTCAAGTATTTATATCCACATATCTGCTTCCTAAATGAATGAAATAAATTTTTTTGTCATGTCAACATCATGAATGAGTGAAGACAAACATTTTATTGACTCCACTGTTCCCTGCCACCTGTCAAGTCATTTTAAAATCTATTCCTTTTTTAAAATCAGAGCAGACTCTTATATAGAACAGATAATGAATGGCTTAAGGTTGTATTGCCACTATTTTACATCTATAGAGGAAGATGATCCCCAAAAGCTGACAAAACACTGACTTTCAGGGCAGTAGACTGACATTCAGCATGACTCACAACTCCCTCTAGTGTTCATTATGGCTACTGCAGCCAAAGGTACTAGTGACCTACACACTGTAAAAAATATATTTATTCAAACCACTGACAAATGAAACTTTAAGATTTGCCATTTTAACTGAGAAATCTGACAGTGTAGTTGCTTAGTTTCACTGTTTTTATTTTCCTGTTCAGGATCAAGAGTCTTTTCCCTTAATGCTATTGGAGACATCTGCTTAATTACTCTGCACATTTTCAAATAAACCACTTAAACTGTACTGAAACAACTGGAGTCATCTCAACTGAGCCAGACTGCAGAATGCTTCACTTCTTTAAGAAATATAACACTGAAATAAAAATACTTTCTGCATGAACAGAATGATGTGGAATACTTTTATAACTGAGACCACTCACACACACACACACACACACACACTGTGTTCACTGAGAGTACAATGGCTCCATATAGGCTATGAAACTACACTATGGTGTAAAGCAGCCTGCTAATACAATTATGCACACGTTTTGTCCCTAAAACAGTTCAAAGTCCCTTAAAAATGAAATATTAGCAAGATTTAAAAAAAAAAATGCTTCTCACCTTTTCAGCTGAAGGTCTTGCAGAGATTTGAGCTGCTGGACTCTGGTGTCTCTCTGCCCGGACAACAACCAGTGAATGGAACCAATCTGTCCTTGTTGTTGTTTTTAGAAGCCCATTAGGGCGGACGGACATTCTGACATCATAGCAATTACAATGAAATACCATTAGAGACCCCATGCCAGAAATAATGGAGACTCCCTGGAAAATACTGATGCTTGTCTATGTTTTCTTAACCTCAGCTTGTATCTCTCTGTGCGAGTGCATGTGTGCATGTGTGCATGTGTGCGTGTGTGTGTGTAGTTCCTTATCCAACTTCGGTCTACTGTCAGTGATGTGAGGATTATCAGTGCTCAACTTACACAGCACTTACCGTGACAAAGGATTAGTAACGTGAATATAAAGGACAGAACTTTGCACCATGTAATTAGATAAAAGGTACACTGGCTATAATTGTAAGAAGAAAAATGTTCCATACCATGCCACACGTGTTATAGTCCATTCACTAAAACTCACAGATACTTTACATCATAGCTGATCTTTTTGCAAACCATGCTGTGGTTTTAGTTTTCCCTGTTCCATCATAATGCAATGAAATATGAATCAAATATTACATAACAAACTGCATCGCAAAGCAACATCAAGGTAACAACAAGGGGTCTGCTTATTGAATCACGTTACATTACATTATTTTGCCAAATATTTTGTTGTTGTGTTTCACCACCTGATGGATGTAAGTCTATAAGTTAGTAAAGCTCTGCTTTGGTCTCCACCAAACCCTGAGAGAAATACCTGGCACCTTCGCTACTAAGTGTTCCTCTAGCCCAGGTGCTAACTCAGTCTGCTGTTTGATGCTGGGCAGGCAGGTGTTTTTTTAATGTAATATATCACAGCTGCCTGCCTGAGACAGGACATGAGGTTGGTGACAATGGAGCTTATGGGCCACAAAAAGGCTAAAAGGGTCTACTAAGCCAGGGGAAAGGCAGAGTTGGGTTATAATTCTCAGTGAGGTTGTAACTACATGAGTAACCCTTGTCACATTAGAAATGAATTTGTTCAAGTAATGTATCATTGTGCCTGTGGAATTAACATTACTGAATATTAATATATGAAAATTATTGAAGAGACAAAAGAGGTGACACAAAAACCAGCACAGACTCCCGGAGTGTTTTCTCAAAGTGAAGTTTCATTTTTAGCACATAGTTTTTTTTTCTCCATTCTACACCCCCCTGCAATGTTACGTACAGTAGTAAGCCTCTCTACATTCAAACCCCCCCCACCGCTGTGTTGGTCCCCAAAATATACATTTTCTTCTTCTTCTGCATCATCTTTATCATCTTCTCTAAGGTTTTTCTTCAACACAACAAACACAGACCATTGGGCAGACAGTGCAAATCTAGAAATTCAGTGAAATTGCTACGTAATGCGGTTGTAGGTTTCGGTAACATTATATTGTCATTCTGTTACTGTTGCTCTGACTTATTGCCATTCTATTGTGTCTAACTCTATGTCTTTTTTTTCCTCTGTCTTTCTCCTCCTCAGCTCTTTTTTTTTTTTTTTTTTTTTTTCAAATCTTTACTGGCTGCTTTCATCCAGTCCATTCACACCACCCCTCGGAATTAAAGCATTTGTTTCAATCTGGCCACATGAAAGTGGCCACAGAGAGGAAATGTGAATGCGAATGAAACCAGCGTTTGATGGCCGTCTGTGAGGCGATACCAGAGCTCTCTACGGACACTCTCTTCTCTCGCTTCCTGTTCTGGAGCAGTTCTAGAATGCACAACAGTATTCTAGAAAGAGGAATATCACTGTTGATTAATATAATTGAGGATTCTAGAACAGTGGGAGCTGGGGGTTCTGTTCCCCCCCCCCAGAGTCAGCTGAGCGACTGACAATAACAATCAAGAGGGTTTGTGAGTAAGCTAGCCAAAACAAAAATCATAAAGTAAGCTGAGTTTTATGACAGCGAGGTCAAGTTTTGTCTCTGTTCAGCTGTGTTTTCTGAGTGTTTTCTTCTGCCTGAATCAAAGCAATGTTTCAAATCAAATGGGAGCGTTTGTTTTTCTTGCCTGCCCAGAGTGGCCAGCCAGGTGGTGTGTGCAGGTGTAGGTTTTTCAGGTGTTTGCTTGTATGAGGCTGCTATCACACCTAATCCATCAGTGCATTTTCTGTTGCTGCCACGGAGCGCAACCGATGCAAATGTGCGCGCTTTACGCCTACGCTATGTGCAGAAACAAAGAGAAAAAAAAACAGGTATATGTCAGTGGTTCCCAACCTGGGAGTCGGGCCCCTTTAAGGGTCCTAACATTAATCAAAAGGGTCACAAGCTAAACAAAATTCCTCAAATTTTTTGCTCTTTTGTATCTTTGCTTATTTGTATATTTTGCCGCTGAAGACCCTACAACCAAAACTGAGAAGGAAAAACACTCTTTGGTTTACTTGCTCGCAACTCATGTCCACATAAAGGAGTCACAAGTAGACATGTAATTTGTAATTCGCAAGCTAAAGGGTTGGGAACCACCGGCACATTCGTAACTAACTCCTAACTCAGGTTCCAAATTCTAGCCTTTTCCAGAGCTTTCCATAGTATCTTCCAGTCTTCATCAGCATATGGAGTTTGCTCAGTTTTCCTCATTCTGAACACCAGTTACCAGTTGACTGACGTTCCATACGTCAGTCAACTGGTTAACTCCTGCCGACCGAGCAACCCCATCCCCTGATGAGGACCATGACATGTGATTGTAAGCTGCAGAAAAATCCAGTAAGTGGACCTTGAGTTAATTTTTTTTTTTTATGTCAACTACTCACATGCACAAATTTGACAATATTTGGTTTCTGGTGTGACTGACAAACATGTTGGAAGCTATAACCTGGATGTTGGATGCGGAAACTGCAAATGAAGTGAAATTCAAAGCTGTAGCGTCAACGTTTGAAAGCAACAACCTCTTTTGTACAAAGGAGCAATGGCAGATTAACTGTGGGTGTGACCGCAGCCTGAGAGCATCAGAACAAGTCAACCAAACTCAAATCAAATTTAGAGCATTCAAAAAAACCTGGAAATTTGGGGGCAGAAACGCACCACTGTAAGATTTATGCCACTCAGTAAAACTTGAAATGCCAATCTGAGCGCTGCAAGCAAATGGATTTCAAAACCTTGTTGACTCAGGCACGATTAGAAGTTTGAAAAACTGCTGGTCTGAAGGGTTTCTGAATGTTTGGTTACGAAGCAGCCGACAGGTAGCTCTGCGTCTCAAGCGTCAAAAACACAATCAATCGATTTGTTTTACGATACATTCGGATTCAAACCCTGTCCCTCAGGAAGGAGAGAAGGAGAGAGAGAGAAAAAGAAACAAAGAGACGACTGTTTTCTCTCGTTCTCTATCACTCTGTCTACGCACATCTCCTGCTCACCGATTCACTCGCTGGATGCACACCAACACACGCACGCACGCACGCACACATACACAACCTGACCATCATCTTCAAATAAGGTTACATTTCCTGATCAAATAGAAAATAAATAGCATCAGTATCAGTTTTCCACAAAATGAACAAGATCATACAAAAACCAAGAAAAAAAAACAACATAATTACAAAGCAAAATCATTTCTCATCAAATAAATTTACACAGAAAGTACCTTTAAGACAATGTGAATATCAAGGACGCAACAGGAGTAAAAACAAGAGTGGAGGGTAAACATTTGAGCGTGACACCCACTTCCTGTTTAACCCCCTAAAAACACACAGATTATCCTGAAAGAATGAAAATATTGCTAAAATAATTTTTTTCTGTTTTTTTCCCCTCTCTTTATCCCATCACTCTATCATAATGATCAGACAAGAATAAACAGATTTTTGTTGGTTCACACCGAAAAAAGTTATCATCGTCATGGTCGCCATCTAGCAGCGTCAGGTCTGCTGAGCCTAAAGGAACAGATGCTCCGGGTGCAGAAATCCAACTGGATCAAAGTGTTTTTCTTTTCGTCTGAAACACTGTGGTGCATTTTGTTTGTTCTCCACTAACCTCTGTGCTGGGTGGGGTTTACTAGTATGCTTGGATACGTTTTTGGTTCGAAGTTGGGGGTTCTACACTTCAACTTTGTGTAATGTAATCTCGGCATATGAGTACATTTGTAAAATATTTAACCAAAAAAATAATTGTGTGCCGCAACATAAAAATCAAAGGCACCTTGTGGAGTTTTTCACCACTAGTAGCGCTATGGAGTAAAGTTTTTATGATCGGGTCCCCATTATGTTTGTATCGCACACAAGGTTGCACATGGATATGATTCACATCATGCTGATTTCATGCTATTCCACTGATCGACAGTTTGTGGCGCTAATGTACAAAGAAATGTAGCAATATGCCAACAAAGGCAGAAGAAGACTGCTAGCAAGTAAACATGGATGTAAACAATGCAAGTTAAAATTGACTTTACAAATGTTTTATGAGGAAGGAAATGCAATTCAGCACATTTGAAAAAGCCTCATGGATACACACAATGTGTTTTGGTGAGTAACACTGGATGTAAACATAACTTTGTTTCTCCACAGGGCGCCTTTAAAAGGACAAAATAAAACATAGCAACGATCTTTAAACATGGAATGTTTGGGGATTTTTTTTTATGAAATACCCCTTTAAAATACACCCACCGCACCACAAACATCCCAAATTTCAAAAGAAAAGAAAAACAGCCACCACCAATCCAGTTCATTCCTCCCCTCTTTAAGGTCTGTTAAAGGGGAACTCCGCTGAATTTCAGCACTCACATTATGGCCTCATACAGTTAACGTGTGATGTGAATTCAGAATTCGAGCCGGCCTTCCCCTTTATGGTATCTGCTACACTAGTGTTTCTCCCATAATACACTACAGAAATATCCAGAGACATATGTATATATATAAAAACATTATCATCATCATCAGTAGTACTTAGAGTAGAGTAGAGTAGTAGTAGTAGAGTAACAAGTAAGAAGAAGGAACAGTATTGTACTTTATATCATTATCATCATCTTCATCAGTGGTTATTTAACCTTGAGGGACTTTAGGCCTGTCCTTTGGTGGAACCTGACAGAATGGGAGAGGAGTTAGCGCCAGAACCAGCTGTGTGTGTGTGTGTGAGTCTGTGTGTGTGTGTGAGAGTGTGTGTCTGTGTCAAAAAGAAACTGTGTGAAATATATTGGTGCATCAATAGATTGTTGGTGTGTGAGATCTGTTTGACCTGGATACACTTTCTCTCTGTAGCTCTGTCTTCTCATATTTACAGTAAATATGTACCTGTGTCTGTGTGTGTGTGTGTGTGTGTGTGTGTGTGTGTGTGTGTGTGTGTGTGTGTGTGTGTGTGTGTGTGTGTGTGTGTGAGAGAGAGGTTTTGTGTGTCTGGTCTGTGCGGCAATAGTTTTGGGACATTTGTGTGAAATTGCTTCTTTTGTTTATTAATGCTTTGTGCTATCCACGCATGAAATAAGCATCTCTGACCAAAAGATAAATACGAGGCCACAGTACAGACTCTGACTCGGTTGGTTAAATATCAAGACAAGTTAGACAAATGTTAAACTTGGTTAGTGTTGCACCAAAAGAGAAATTTCATCTCTTATTTTGAGGCTGATTTGAAGCAGGCCAGCTACCAATTCTGGGTACTGACCTGCAGTTTAATAAACCAGCCGTTAATTAAAATGACAGTCAGCACTTTTGGACGATATTCATCTTCGGATCTGCAACATAATGTGTGTACAGCAAAATTTGAACCAGTTTCACACAACTCTGTCAGAAAAAAGGTCCAGTCTTTAACTCGGATCACTGAGTTTGTGCGCTCTTTCACAAAAAGCCACCCCCTCGATGATACAAGATAAAAAGACCAGAAGAATTGTTTTGTACCTTTTCTGTCTGACCTCTCCCAACACTTTCACCAACAACCTCATGTCTTCTCCCTGTCCCCTAACCCCCGTGTTATCCAATTTCTGTGGAGCAGCACCTAGGTGGCGCTCTCCCCAGCTCCAGAGGAGGAAGAAGAGGCCCCGCTGGGCTTGGGCTCGGGCTGGTCGGAGTGAGCCGTCTGCGGGGACGAAGGGGTCGTGGGGTCCCCTCTCTCGCCTCGCTCCTGGAGGTTGCGCTGGTTCCTGGCCGCCTCTGTGAGCATCTGCATCCGGCGATCCTGGTGTTCCTCCAGGCCTCGCCACAGGTCTGCACGCTCCCTCTCTCGCTTCATCTCCCTGGCAGGCAGGAAGAAGAGAAACCATATCAGGTTACGATGTTCTGCTAAAGAAGTTCTAAACTGTGGAGCCATAAAACTTTAATAGGATCTTTCCAAATGATAAATCATAAGATAATTTAAACAAATTTATTCAATTAGTGATGGATCTGGGTGGAAATTCAAGATTCAACACTTAATTCTACTTTCCTGTGGTTTTATATAATAATTAAACTGGATTAAATCTCAAACAAATAGATGAGTCTAAGGTTAATGCAATTATTTTATCCTCAACTCTGCAATGCAAAAGACAGGTGTGGACTTGATGCTGTTTCCCTTAAAAATTAAAAAGACAACTTACACCATAAATAGGTCACTAGGGGAGAGTATATTTCCCAGTGGTCGGAAAACTGCTATTGTAACTGCAGTATATAAAACAGGTGACGGACAAGATGTAAGCAACTACAGACCTATTACTATACTCCATGCTATTTCTTCCAAGTCATCAAGGCTAATTCAGATAAAAGAGGGGAATGGGAACAGTGTTTCTTGACCTACATAAGGCCGTTGACACAGTTACTGATTCAGTATGTCTTACTCAGGTGTTTAAGTATAATCTCTGTAACAGCACATTACATTGGACAAAATCATATCTGTCAGATCACACCCAGTGTGTAAATAATGCAATGTGATTGACAAGAGCCTGTACTACTGGAGTACCACAAGGCTCCATACTAGAGCCACTGTTGTTTAGTTTGTACATCAATGATCTCCCATCTTTGTGTGATGATGTAGAGCAGGGGTCGTGTTAACCAAATATTTTCCGTCATTTAAATTTTTTTAACAATGACAGAAAAATCTCTAGGCTGATAAACACTGAGGGCGATCTACCGTAACCAGAAGTCTGATGCTGTTGCTGTTGTTGGGAGCTGTCCAGAGTGTTCTCTTTCTCCCGCGCCCACATTAGTGGGAAGACCTAGGCTAAATAAACAGACTAATTGTTCCCAGTGTGTTCTTTATTACTGAATAGCAGCAAAACAAGTAACCCTTCATTAAAGACATGAACTCTCTGTTCCTCTCTCTCTCCCACACACATATCTACTGTACACACAAACAATGCATCCTTCACATCTTGTATGTAGGTATATACTGTCTTTCTTAGCCTCATGTTTGGTTGCACTGTGTAGAAAAAGTCCACAGTTCCAGAATTTAACCTATTTCGATGGGCTTCAAGCACCGACCAGCTGGATGCACTGCTGCACAGCACCGCTCTGTGTGTGTGTTTGAGAGAATGAATGACAGAGAGAGGTAAAGAGAAGGTGGAAGGTGGATTATTGCACACTGTGTTTCTATAAGATATTAATGACTTACTCAGAACACTGCTTTGTTGACCCGCCTGCTTGAACTCATTTTATAAATACTCCTGCTCAGAGATGAGTGTATGTATGTTGTGTGCCTGAGTGTACACAGCACCATACCTCTGCTGTAGAGAGACCAGAACCAAAACCTGTGCTCACCAACTGTATCTGGAAACCTGCAGTATAGTCAGAGACTCTGCACAGAAGTGCTGAGCAGATCAGTGTTGTTCATAAAGAAACAGTTCCAACACATAACTCCCATTTCATTTCTGCTCATGTACAGCTTAATCAAACAAGACAGACCATATAAATAAGTCAGCTTTAGAGGCGTTGATAAGCCTATTTACCCTGACACCAACTCCATACTCAACTCACAGACATGAGGCTGATATTGATCTTCTCATCTCACTCTCAGACAGAAAGCTAAAATGTTGAACTACTCCTTTAAAGTTTCTTCCCCAATAGTATCCACTATCTTGAGTTTGAAACAGGGCAATGAATGAGTGGAATCATGATGTGATCCATTCAAAAGATGACCTAAGCGATACATATTTACAATGTGAAATATAATGTGACGGATAATGGAACAAATATCGTCTAAAACATGACGAGTCTTCTGTTTCTCCCTCTTGTTGTCATTGTTGTATCCAGTGACACAAATACACACACACACACACACACACACACACACACACAAAGAGAGTGAGTCACACTCACTTCTGTTTCTCCACTTTGTAGGAGGCAGTGAGGTCATCAAACAACTTGCTGTTCATCTCCATGAAGGTCTTCAGCACGTTGTAGATCAGAGACACGATGGTCCTGGAGGGGCAGAAGGAGAAGATAATGAACCTGGTCCCATGGAATTATGGGTCAGGAGATAGAGGTTAAAGTAAAAGCCTGTATTTTGGGGAGATTAACCCTCTATCAACCATATGTGTTGCCTAAGTATTAACAAGTGGGCCATTCATGAGTCCCTGGTAGGTTATTAGCTCGGCTAGTCGGCTGATAGAGGGCTTGTACATTGATCTCAGTGTTGGGGAATTACAGATTGTGGCCGCTGTGAAGCTACATGTAAAGTAATCTTTCTCATATTAAGTTTTAGCAGTGATGAAAAGTAATTAAATACATCTTTTTTATTTATTATTTTTACTTTAATAAAGGATCTGAATATCTCTCCCACCAGTATAAGCATGAGGCACAAGAATGTATGGTCCATTGGGGAGACATTAGCAAAGAGTGTTTGTTGCCCTATAAAGTTAGTACTAGTTCTCCACTTTAACTTCAGCTCTGCTTTGGACACTTTGACTGTATGCCGGCAGTGTTTGCAGGCCAACTTAGACTAGTGACAGTATAGTTGCTTTAGTCCTAAATGGAGCTCCACATATACTCGACTAAAGACCAACTGGAAGTCTCTAATATGTATTTATGTACCATCCAAACAGTAATAGAGCTTGAGGTTACTCCAAACTTGACAATCTAATCTAAACTCAAGAGCTATGAGTTCTGAGTTGTATTCGTGTGTGTGTGTGTGTTTGTGTTCATGTGTGAGCCACTGACTGGTTCCAGTGCTCCTTAGAGACTCTGTAGAGGGTGGCGAATACCAGCGGCAGGATGACTTGACAGTTCTCCTCTATCAGACTGAGGATGTATTCGTTGTTCCAGAAGTAAAGAGCCCGCTCCGCTACCTGAAACAAACACACAGACACAAGAGTTTTATTTGACTCATGTCTGCGCCCACAGTTTTTGAAGTTATCCAAGTAACTTTTTTCAGTACAGTCTCCTTCAGTGGACTGTTTTTTTTATAGTATGGATTGAATGTAGGGAGGTGTGGTGTTTACCTGGAAGTGAGGGCTGGAGATACAGGCTGCGATCTGTTTGAAGAGCGGCTCCTGGACCCGGATGAACTGAGACGGCTCGATCACATCCAGGATCTCCTCAATCTCCCCGAGGAACATCACCTAAATACACAGACACACATTGTTATAATTGATAAAGAAAGGACGGAACAGACATTCACAGGACTGCCAGTGAATAAAAAAATGTGAAGGCACTTGAATAAGGAATAAAAATACAAACACAATATATGCAGAAGTCCTACGAGGACATCAGATATTTAGGAAATCGAAATGTTTCAGCAGTGGCTAATGAGAGCAGCTGAGAAATATCAGCGTCTTTTTTATTATCAGCTCTCTCACCTCTTTCTGCGTGCAGGTTTTTGGCCAGTACTTGAGCAGCCCTCTGATGATCTGCAGAGAAAACGTGAAGCACATAATATAAATAAACACTGCAGCCATTAGCTCAACAGGGTTGCTGGCTGGCATCCATCTGTACCATCTCCATTAACTCATATTCATACTCTGGCTAGTGCATTAAGAAATATGTTGTTTGTACTGACTCTCCTTTTTTACTGCACTGATGTTTGTGAATGAACATCAGAGTTTACATTGTTGAACTATTTACAGACTAACATTGATTATAATGTCTGATGGCCATGTGACAAACAAAAAAAGGTTTATTACTACTTCTACTACTACTTATTTTTTAGTTTTGTCAATAATTTCCATCAGTTATAATGACATTCATACTCACTAAAGTAAATGCTAAAAACCAACATATTGAAAAAAACCCCGTAAGTTGAATCTCAAAACTGTGATAGATGTTTAAACGATAGTTTGGGTAAAAATATTCCCGTTCAACCTTTGTTTTCCAAGTTATTTGCTTCCAAATAACTCTGGCTAACCTGTTAAAAGCTGTGATAATGGACTTTTTGGCCACAGAACCCGCTGCAATCACGTCATTGACATATTATCACCTTGTAATGTTGATATAGCAAACAGGCTAGCAAACAGTTGTTTACTTGCTTTCAAGCAGACAGAGCAACATTAGCATTCATTTGTAGTTTTGTTTCTGGCCACCGGGAGATATTTTCTCACTTTTTAGCTCAGTTTTTGGTCTTGACCAACTCCTGATTGAAATATCTTCCTCTTTAGCTTCTAAATGCTATGTTCTGCTAGCTTATTATATGAATTGCACTAATCAATTATATTGATTAGTGCAGCTTTAAACCTTTATGATTGCCTTCAATGCTTACTTCACTGTAGTATTTCCACCGCACTCCCATTATTTGATAAATAGAAATTACAGCCAAAACCACAAAACTGAGAATTGAATTATCCTTTAACTTTGATTGGCAGTATTATAATGAAATAACAAACTTACATATTCAGTCACTGTAGCATCTTTCTCCATAAACTGCACCACACAGTAGGCCAGCTGTAAGGACAGGGGAGACATGGTTAAAAGACACACACACGCACAAAAAAAAAACACACACACACACGTTCCCTTAGGCTGTCAAGGAGACAAAGGGGATCTTAGCACTTATCCCTCAGGATTACACACTGCTAAAGATCGGAAAGACAAGTTTTCCAAGGGGAGATGTGTGTCAAAAGTGTGTATATGCGTGTATATGTGAGTGTGTGTGTGTGTGTGTGTGTGTGTGTATGTGTGTGCGTCTACTTCTACATCAGCTCTCTTCTTCTCTTATATGATCTGCAATCATTTCCTATTATTCAGCGAGTGTGTGCGTACGTGCGTGTGTGCATGTGTGTGTGTTTTGCGGTTGCCCCCTTCCACCCAAGCCGGTTGCCGTGGCGAGTGGGCACCGTGGCGACGGAGACTGTGTGTGTGTGTGTTTACTTCGGAAGGAGTGATGTCACACACACGAAGTCCCTTAAGGGCAATGTGAGATAGAGTTTAGACCTCTTGTCTCAGCCTCTCTGTCTTTCCTCGTGTCCTATTTATACCTTTGTCTCGTTCAATTTCTCACTGTACTGGTCGTTTTCATGACTTTTAGATAAGTAAGTTCAAATCATTAAAATAAAGGTATGCTGGATTGTCCATTTTTAAAGTTATAGACAGTAGAGGCTGTGTTCTGTCAGATCATTAATGGTTGTTCCATATCTTTTTAGACGGTCATTTTTAACTTTTTTCCTTCTTTTTTATTGTTTCTTTCTTTGTCTCATTCCTGTAGCTCCATTATCTCTCTCTCTGTCTGCCTGTCTGGCTTTCACATCTTCCACAGCTTTCATCTCCCCCCTTCATCTAATCCCTTTTCCTCTTTACAGTACACCTTTCTTGTTTGTCTTCTCCTCTTGCTCCTTCCCTAACTTTCCTGTCCCTCACTAGCACCACAACATGGTTACAGAAGCGGAGGAAAAAAGAGGGAGCGGAGGCTAAAAAAAGGGACCGGTGAAAGCAGGGATTGTCAAGCTTGAATAAAAAGAAAAGCAAGAACAAGAGAGGGATTAAAATAAAGATGCTGATCGGTCAAACTCTTTAAAGTATTAGCGAGGCATTAGAGAAACTGCTTGGGGTGAATATGATGTTGGATTCTGTTGTCAGGCCAGGCTTTGTGGGGGCAGGAGGCCGTTGTTAGGCTAAGGATTATGGACATTTATAGTCCTTTTAATGCTGAGATTTTACCAATATTGATTTGTCAAGTGACAGGTCAAATTAGGGTCTATATATATTCTGGAGAACTCTAAAGCTGGCTTCATGCCTGTAAATTTGTTCTGACCTGCACATCAAAAAAGTAGCCTCTGCATGCTTTTACAGTTCTTCCAACTACTTTGTCAAATAAAAACACGGTTATTCACAATCTGTGAATCATGCTGACTTACTCATAGTGACACAAAGTCGAACTGCAATTTGAATTCTTCCATTTTACAAAACAAGGATAAGCGTAAACTTCCATGTTGGCTGCTGCGTCCCAGCTCTGGGTAGCTTACAAACACTGATATAAGGCTTTTCAACAGGCCTAAATAACATTGGTTCTTAACCCTTAGCGATTAAAGACATCTGTCCATTTACAATAGTCAACATTTGGGAGGACACATCGTGCTGTTAAGTTTGCATTCTACTCAAAAAGTGGAAGCTAGCAAGCCAAGCAAACAAGCTTTCACTTGGGAAGTTGAAGCCAGTTAGCGTAGACGGCTGTTGTTGGGACTGAATCCCACTAGAAGTTTGTTTTGCTCATGCTATTTCAACACCTGCAAAGTCAGTGTTGTGCTTGTACAAATGGGGGGGTCTAGTGAGTATTAGCTGTCTGTCTTTTACGGGTCAGTGGAACAGACTGTCAAAACTCGAAGCAACGAGTCATCCTGTAACCTCTGCAGGGTTTGCTCAGATCTTTGAGGACCGGCTGAACTGCACACACTGTGTCTGTTGGAGGCAAAGTGATATTACAAGCTATTTTCAGTGTCCACCCACACAGATATTGCACCAATCAGATTATGATTGCAGACATTGTCAGTCTGAACAAAAAACGACTTACCCAGGAGAACAGTAATGTAGAGGGATAGCGCAGCAGAAACATAGAGTCTGAGTTTGATACGAGCTTAATATATAAAAGCACTGCATTTTCTTTTTTATATTTGGAGCCATGATGTGTAACCATGTTGTGGCAACATAATATAGCTTTAACAGCTGTTATTACAACTCAGCAACATGAATATAAATGAGAAAAACCATCACAGGCTACAGGAAGGATGATTCAAATGTATTTCACAGTGTTGAGAAAGATGAATAAAAGGCGCTGCTGTGATATTTTATATTGATATTTACATCCAGAAGTGGGTCACTCCTTCACAGTCACACCTACAGAGCGCAAAATTGCTGTCCACTAGCAGCAGTGTATCCCCCATGACCCTGTCAAACCGAGTGTGTGTTTGAGTGTGTGAATTATGTATGTGTGTGAACCACAGGGAGAGAGACGGGGAGGAGAAATGTAGGGCACAGTGATGCTCAGACCCAGAATACACACACACACACACACACACACACACACACACACACACACACACACACACACACACACACACACACATACATACACACACACCTCAGATGAGTTTGTGGAGAACAAACTGTACCTTCTGCATAATCAAATAATGTGTGACACAAATAAAATGCACAGGCACGCACACACAATAGACCGGCTACCATCTGTGTCATCAAATATTATGATAACCCAAACATACATAGTCAGTCAGACACACACACACACACACACACACACACACACACACACACACACACACACACACACACACACACTGAGTGCAATTCAAAGGTGAGTGCACATCTCTGCAGTATTATCTGCGACTCAACTCTGCTTCCTAGTGGTACATTTGATACATTGCAGGAATCCCATTTGAGGGATATTCATGTATAAACCCTTTCCTTGGTTTTACCCTTATATGTGCAGACATTCAAGCCAAATCTTTGTAGACACTGTTAACTGTTGCATAGACCAATCATATTTTTGACAGGACATTTTAGGGAGGCTGACAGCTAGATTACTGCTAGAGAAAAACACATGCCAGAAGCCAGAAGATAAACTACAACCCAGTATGATTCCATGAACGTTGTCTCTCTAAAAGTAGGGAGAGTAGGGGTCTCTAAAACCTACAATAAAGCATGCCTCAGTCAGCACATCCAAATCAGCAAGTATTTTGGGTTTCATTTGATAGTTTAAGTTTAGCAAGATCTCAGAGACTTTTACACCCTGGCAAACACAAACAATGGTGAAAATGATGTCCAGAACACTGGCACAAAATATCAGCAAACAGCAAACATGGAAAACAGCTTTAAGGTTCAACAAACGATCCAATAAACATCTGTCCCCCGCATGTGGCTGTCGACATGGTGTCAAACTATGTCAACAAATTTTGTTATTACTTTTGTGGTGTTACATAAAACATAACTGGGTGTCAAAAATAAAGTTTAAATAAAGTCTATCTTATCTTAATATACAAACAAATTTAAATATATGAGTATGCAGGAATATGTCACAGACCTGTGCGTGGAAGATGGAAAGGGACTTTGCCGTGTGTAGCGGGATGAGAACCCGAACCAAGAACTGCTTGTGTTCAGCCTTCAGGGGCAGAGCGAATCCATTTATGATGCTGGAGGAGAGAAGAGGAGAGGAAAGTTACACATAAACCCTCTTTGGCATGTGCACTCCTTTTTGATCGCGTTTACTTTATTCCTGCCAAAAACAAAAACATTGTGTTTGTCAGTTGGAATATGTCAAAAATATTGGAAATGATTATGAGAGTATTGATGAGTTTAAAGGACCAGTGTGTAGGATTTCGGGGGATCAATTATCAGAAATGGAATATAATCGTAGCTATGTTGTTTTTATTAGTGTATAATCAACTGTTGCCACCATGTTTCTGTTTTCAACTGCCATACATACACTACCAAATACTGACTCTAGATAGGGCCTTTTGTGGCCTCCATAGTTGCTCATTTGCACAGGGGAGGGTGAAGCGATCTGTTGCAATCTGCAACTACACCGCTAGATGCCGTCAAATCCCACACACTGGTCCTCTAAAGCTGCATCTACTTGAATTTCAGTATCAAGTAATCTTTTAATTATTGTTTCAGTGCATCAATTAATGTCTTAAAATGCAATAAAATGTCCAAAACCAAAAGATCCAACTAATGTGAAACAGAGAAAAGCAGAAAATCAATTTTGCATTCATGGCACTGAAACAATGACAACATCACATATTACTTCTAAAGTCTACCATTCACATCTGTGTAAGCGTGTGCATTCGTCTGTGTGGTGGAGTCTATTCTTGTACTGTGTCCATTTCCAAGTGACTGGACAAACGCGTGGTGTGCTCTGTTCACTACCACGCTGACTGAGATATAGGGGGTTCAGCCCACAGAGGGACGAGTATGAGCAGCGGAGGAGTGGGAACTAAACTTGGAAGCACTCATTTAGCAGCACTCTGAGCTGTTTGTCAGTTTGTATGTCTGTCTCTGTATCAGTCTACCTGTCTGTCTGCCTTCATTTTATAATTTGTTTCATATAACATTCCTTCAATATCTCCCTCCTGCTGTTCCTCTAATCTGTCTTTCTGCCTCCCTCTCACCCCTTTTTCTGAATACTTCTGTCTTCTCCCTCTCTCTCTTTCTGTACAATGCATCCTCCCTCTCCCATCTCTCTCTCCCTGTCTCTGTGTGTGGGAGGAGCTATAAATACCTCTGTTACCACCAACATGAATACAAACCTCTCTCTCTTCTCCTGCTCTCCCTCCACTTCTGACTCACTGTTCACTCACTCATCCTCCCTCCATCTCCTTGTATGCCTCCATCTCTTATTCCTCCCTCCCTTCCTCCTTCTGTTTCTCACCTTGGATTCATTCTCTCCCCTTCCTCTCTTTTCTCCACGTTAACCCATAGTTCTCAAACTTCAAAAGTCATCGTCACTCTGGCCAGGAGAAACGGTGATTATGGGAAGAAGGAAGAAGAAAGGATTCTGATTTCGTATGAATCTCTTTGTCTTTCATGTTGGGAAAAACTACAGAAACAATAGCGTCTAACTCCTGCATTCAGACACACCGCTCCAGTCTCCCTCAGTCTCTTTGACTCCAGCCCTCTTTTCAACTCTCTTCACTTTCTGCTAAGTTTAACATCAGTAAAGATTATTTAAAGGCCCTTCTGTCTTATTAGTGTTGAATAATCAAAGACAAAGACAGAGGCCTCAAGCTAGAGTCCAGCCACCACAAATCATTTGAGAAAAATGAATATTTATTGAGGTAATATTGATTTGTATGTTTGCTTTCTGATTTCTCTTCCTCCATCTTTTGTTTATTCTCCTTCCTCTTCCATCTCTCCATGTCTCGATCTTTCAGCACTATCAACACGTTTGTGTTTATGTAAGTTAACGGAAGTATGTCAACGTAATGTCATTGTTAGTTTCTCTGTCTCAAACCTGAGCAAGGAGGAGTCACGAGACTGAAACTGTAAATGCTCTCTCCTTCTTACATAACGAGCCACTGCCTAACTAGCTAGGTTGTTATGTAGCTTGGATAATTACTCACCATTAAAGTAAACAGCAGAAGCTACCTGGTTATCACACTAACCTCTGTGGCGTTTTGAGTTTTAAAATGTTCCATAAAGACACACAACTGTGAGATGAGAAAAAACACTTTGTGGCCATCAGGAGCAAGTTAAAACTGTTAATACTTGTTGTTAACTTTAGTGCTGAGTAATAATCCTTGCTCAGACAAACTACAGTGTGTCTCTTTGAATACAGCCCTTTTTTTAAAGTCTCTTCCACTTCATCTGTGTATAACATCTAAAGGCATAATAGTGTTAATATTTGATTCCCGACACTAGGACTGCCTTGAGAGAAAAGTAAATGATTTTTTCAGGGGGGGATAAATTCAGTACACGGTGTAACAGCAGAAATTGTGAAATGTGCCTTTAAGATACTGTTTTGCCTAGATACGAGAGAAACGTCATCAGACAGCTCCCAGCTTGTCTTGGGTTAGCTGAGCGTCTCAACTCAAACATAACGCTTGGATTACGTGTGGCCTCTGTTTAGTTCATGTATGATAAAATAGTAGCCGTAGAATGAGGCGTATTAAGGTTGATGTGTTAGTAATAAATGAGGAGTACTGTGGAAACCCCAGTGCCAGCGGGGCTGTGAGTTTATTGACTGTCGTCTTTTTCCACTCTCTTCAAGCTCTTCAAACCGAGAAAACCCAACCCAAACTGTTACAACAGACGCAGTAACTAACTACCTAGCCATCTAACTACAGTAGCTAGGATGTGGTGTCAGCATCAAAGTGAAGGTTGATTCAGAAAATGTTCCTCAGAGAAACCCTTTAAGCTCACCAATTACGTATGGTTTAATCAACTAAAATAGAAACTGCTTTATTGGTGTTGGTCGGCATATTCTCTCACTTTGGTAAAGCCAGACCGGCTGTTTCCCCTTCTTCCAGTCTTTTACGCTAAATTAAGCTAAGCTAGCCACATCCTGACTCCAGCTCAGTAATGGTAATGACAGGTTCATCCTCCATTTTCTCCCTGCCTTTCTTTCTCTTTATTACTGTCATCTTTCCATTCTTGTTCCCATTGATTTGTGTGCGAGCACTGGCAGAGAGCAAGACATGTTTGTTTATCACTTTAGCTTCCTTCCTTGCTCTCTCTTCATTTCTATCCTCCTCATATTTCTCTTACTGGCCTCAGAGACAAAACAACAAACTACACAAACCACTGAGTCATTTCTCATTTATGTCTTTAACCCCCCGTCTTGTTACGGTCTCTCCCTCCTGTTCCACCCCCGGCTTATAACTCATTTCTTATTCCGTCGGGCTTCATCCACAGTTGTGTTTACCCTGTAGGAGGGAGCGATAACGATAAATGAAAAATAAATGGATATTGTTTTTTGTGTGAGCAGTTCCAGTAGTGGTTATGCTTTGTCGCCATTTTTCGTAGTTGCTTAATTCACTGGGTTACCAGCTGTCTCATAAATCTGAGCAGCTGGCCAAGTACAGTATGTGTATATGTAAGTGTGTGTGTGTGTGTCTGTTCACACTCCACTCCAAATGCATTCATTAGACCATGGTATACTATAAAGTATGCTCTCCTCCAGAGAAGCAGAGTGTGCTTCCAAAGTGTGTCTGTGTGATTGTCTATACAAACCTGCCGAGGATTTCCAGAAGCTCCGCGACTCCGTTGAAGTGCTCAGTTTCATATATGAACCTGGAGACACAAAACAACACACACACACACACACACACACACACACAGAGTGACTTTTAATGATGCATCAGTAGATCATCAACTGTTTCGAGATTAAGCAAAAGCAACTAAAAGAAGGACTGTAATTCTAGAAATAGCAAAACATATTCTTAACTTCCTGTAATATTCCTGCCTTTCCTAGGAAATTGATTAACACTATGATGTACCATGTCTGAAATACAACTCTATTACCTCTGTGGTGATATCATGTGAGAGAGAAATAAAGCACAATAACAGTTTTATGCTTATATTATATCTTTTAGCTGCCAAAATACTGAAACCAGTTAACTGAGACAGACATAGAGCGCGTTGCAGCGCTGCAACTCTCACATGCTTGAATTATATTGCAAACACCACAATTCAGCCACACTTGGTGAAGGGAAAAGATGAAACATGATTGTACATCACAGCACTCTTGTTAGTCAGAGCTGTTTAACCAATCGTTTGAGGAGATTTGTGTTACAACTACACAACTCTCAGGACAGATGCAGGATGGCTGATACAGCGAGTGTTATGACGGCAAATGTGCACAGTCATGTTTGTGCACGCCTTGTGCCTGTTTGCTTGCATGTGTGGCAGAATACGACGAACGTCAGTCTGAAAATACTACCTGTAGCATTTTGTGTTTCTCAAAGCTTTGACGACATGTACCTGGCAACCCTGGTACTACTTGTCACAATAAGGATGTCGTTACTTGTGATGTTGTTTATTCCGCATTCACATCATATTGTATAGACTGTAATTACAAACAGTTGTGTGGGAAATCTATTAAAGTCAGCCTCCTATGTGTAGTTCAGATCAGGTCAGCAAAGAACTAAAACAGCATCAACAAATTGGAGACCAAATGGCTGCAAAGCCACACAAAAACCCAAATATTAACAGCAGCACCGAAGCAGCTAATCAAAAATGAGCTTAAGCTGTTTGTGCCTGCTTTCACTTAAAGAACCACTTCAAATATGTAACACGATTTGAAAAAAAAAGCTAATTTAGTCTTATATAAATGCATCCTAAATATGCATCCTGATGACTTGTTTAAAGTTGTGAACAAATGTCCCTGCGTGCTGTAAAATCATCATTATTTGTTCTTGTGACTCACCAAGCTAAATAAAATGCATTGCAGGGGTCATAAACACAGCTGTTCCCCCTGCTGATGGTCTTTGTTGGCTAATGTTTGATTTACTGATGTTAAAATGCTATAAATAGCGCCTTTAAATCCTTTGCACTGGATTGGTGGAAGGCAGCCCGTACCTGAGGAAGATGTTGTTGATCTGTTTGCGGATATAGGCTCGGAGGCCCAGTAGTTTTCCATAGACACGGTGCAGGATGGTCTTTAGGTACTCCCTCTCCCTGGGGTCTTCACTGTCAAACAGCTCCAGCAGCTACACACACATAATTACATACACAAGTACAGTATGCTTTTAACATGAGTCTTGTGAGGACCTTTTCTGACTAGATTCATTCTCTAACTTCCTCACGCCTAAACGCAATCCCTAACCATACAACAGCTCACAACATCAGAGTATTTGTCTCATTTCTTTCTCTTGTTTCATGCTCATAGAAATATACTTTTACCACCCTCACACCAAGCTAAATTAATATTACATTAGCTGTTTTTTCCTCATCCAATTCTAAAATAAAGCAGGATTTTAACATAAAAGTTGTACGACTGTAGAACTGTCTTTAAGTCAATTTTTTATATGTGCCCCAACCTAGATAACAAAATTAGAGAGCACTTCGGCAAAGATATTAAAGAGGTGCTTCATTTATTTATACGTTTCCATTTATCAGGATTTTGGAAACATCTTGGATTTGACAAAATGGAGGAGGATTACCTGCAGGACAAACTTCTGGTCGACGTAGCGTTTGGCCATGGAGGGCTGGAAGTCAGGGCTCTCCAGGAAACGCAGAAAGAACTCATACACCAGCTAACAGAGGCACAAACAGCAAGCAATTAGACGTCATTTAGCGTGTCTGTGTTTGTCTCCTAAAGGAATAGTTGAACATTTTGGGATTTACTGATTTTCTTGTAGAGAGTTAGATGAAAGGATCGACACCACTCTCACGTCTGTACGATAACTATGTAGCTAAAGCCAGCAGCCGGTTAGCTTCGTTTAGGCCCAAAGATTGTTTGTACACAAATCACTAGAACGAAAAGATGACTGTGATAAAGAGTGCAAGAGAATAAAATAATGAACATGAACAAGTCTTCTTTTATTCTCACATTTGTAAGCAAAGTTATGCTAAAGGAATAGTTCAATTAACAAGTTTATTTCTTCTCTCTGAGTGTGAAGTTGGAGTGGTAGCCTCTAGCTAGTTAGTGTGGTTAGCTTAGCTAAGCATAAAGACAGCTATTATTTGAACGGTTTCAGTTTTCATACGAATGAATTAAATGAGTTAAAATATATATATTTGTTGGTTTAGAGGTGCTAGCAGGCAGATTTTTTAAATTTTTAGACACAGCTAGCATTTTCCCCCGTTTCTGGTCTTAATGCTAAGCTAACAGGCTGTAAGCTGTGTTCTTATATTGAGCAGGCAGTATTTATACTATTTTATTAAAAGTTGCTCTAAATGGCAACAAGAGGTGATTTCTTTGAAAATCTGAGAACCCAGAAATCTTAAAAGGTGACATTAATGCTTTGCACCAGCAGACACTAACTGAGTGAGAAAGGGAAAAAGATTTCATTTCATGAGACAGTTTGGACGTACATCTTGACTCAGAAATGACTGTACACCACCCCAAATGTCATCTGGACAAACATCACAAGTCTATTTAGGAGATGTTTGTGCTCTTCGTTGCTAGACTTCCATTTGGTGATTCAGGCTGATAAATCAAGTACATTTTGTCAGAACTTTTTTGCTTTAAACAGCAGATTTAACTGATCTAGCGGACCTCAGGCTCAGCTACTGCATGTTTATGTGCACATAAATGCTGAACGTTGCATTAAAAGCAACACCTGGTGGGAGTTGTGTGCATTATGGCATTGTCCGCCCTCCCAAATATAGTATATAATATATAGTAGGGCCCATTCTTCATGGTACTTACTGACACTGCATTGTGTTTAGCTTTACTAACAAAGCAAATACATCACAACATTTCCCACACTGTTTTCTTTTGGCAAAAATGGCCAAAGTCAACATGTTTTGCTGAACATATCTTTCCAAGAGAAACTGTTTCTTCGCTTCTGGGAAATTTTATAATGTAAATTATGTGAATTGTCAGAATATGGTCGTATGGTGATTTTTGTATATATAATGCACCTGCAGATGCGGCCAGGAGGCTTCGAGTGTCGGCTCGTCTTCCTCCGGGTCAAACTCTGGATTCTCACTGGGTGGGAGAGTCCGGAAGATATTTACGGAGATCTGGAAAACGCGGAGGGAAAGAGAGTAATGGGAACAGCAGGTTGAAATGTGAGGAAGAAAATAGGAATGGATGAGAGGTAAGGAGCGATGTGGATACAGGAAGGGGATAAGGGAAGATGAGGGGTCAGAGAGAAAAGTGAAGTGACGGAGGAAGAAAGAAAGGTTAGAAATGACATACGGTACATTCCTATTAATGTTGTGGATAAACTGGACTTTATTCTAGGATTGAAATAAAACTGGGGGATATAATAGTTGTATTTGTAGTTGTAGTCTCTCAGTATAGTCATTTACATTTACATTTACAAAAACATCCTTTGACTCATTTCTAGTCTTCATCCTGCTGATATTTCAACATGATGATCACCAATTTTTGTCACTACACCAAATTAGCTCTCTAGATAGACCCAGGATGAGTAGTTGGTGTTATAAAATAATGTCAACCATTCGTATTTAATTTAGAGATAGAGTCCTGAACAGTTCCTCCTTAACAGTTGTGTTACATGAGTGTCAGTATTGCACTATATCAGATGACAACTGTCCGATAAACAGAGGAAGCTGTTGTATCGGGGTAAAAATCGTGGTCTTCACTAGCTGTTTCAGTTTCAGAGCTGTTAGATAATTTCAGCTACTGTCGGACATATTTGATGCTGTCCGCAGACTCTGTTTGAGAACTAATAAGCCATGCAACCTGAATGCTCGCTATGTCATGATTTATTCAACAAATGGATTTCCACTGGCCATTTAGTGCATAAACTATATTGCAAAAAGCAAATGTGGTAAATCCCAACGCCCAAATTCTGCATTATTTTCTATTCTTTCCTTCTCTCCACACTGTTTGCATTAGTAAAGCTTCTCACTGCAGAAGGATATGCGCTCATTTCACATGACTGTGTAAACCTCACTTGGATTTAAAATGCCTTCATGCTACAGTAGGAAGAATATGGTCCTCTGGACATTTGAATCGTATACGGTCAACACACATTACAACTTCTCTCATCTTCTCTCCTGACCTCATCCATCATGACATCCCTCTCTCCTCACTCTTTCCTTCTCTGCTCCAGTCCTCCTCTCGCCCTCCTTACATTCATTATTTTATTATTAATATCGATCTTGCATATCTTACATTTCTCATCCAGATATAAGTTCCGTTGTTGCTGTATATCAGATACTTTATTGACCTGTGTGCAGAATCTTTTTGGTGATCTTAGCTAGGGATAGCAATGTTAATCTGTTTGTCAGTTGGTTGGTCCACCACTTATATGCTACATATGTTAGCATGAACTCAGGTGGTAAACATTATACCTGCTTAACCATCAGCATGTTAGCACTGTCATTGTCATTTACTGGGTCTCTGTAAATAATTTTATAAAGGACTACAGTCTAGACGTGCACTATTTTTCAATATGAATTGTGAGCATGTTAGCATGCTGATGTTAGCATTGTAGCTCTGCACACAGCTGTGCATAAGTTCAGCCTCACGAAGCTGCTAGCATGACTAGACTCGTAGTCTTGTTCTATACTATATATATATATATATATATATATATATATATATATTAAAATTCTACAACATTTCCATGTTTAGGAAACATACGTTTACTCTCTTGGCTTCCCTACATTACACTTAACTACATTACACTTGGGCTCTATGCACTTTAGCAACTTCTATTATAGAACTTTAGCTTTCTTTAACATTTCCATTCCTTTCATCCCGTCCTCTGTCCTATCAGCATTTTAACATCCTCTGGGTATAGTGACTCCATAACATAAGCTATATCCTCTGCTCGCTGTAGCCTCTTTCTCCAATCCCCTTTTCCCTTTCCTCCTCTTTATATCCTCTGGGACCTCTGGTGCTCTGCGATGGTGTCCACACATTTTCCACCACATTCTTCTTTATCTTTCTTGTCCCCCCCTCGCCATCTGTGCAGCCTATTGCTGTTTAGCACCCTTTGCAAATGCTCTATCCCTCCTTTCCTTTCCTCCCCTTATCTATCGCTCTCTCCCTTCCTTTCTCCTCTCCTTGTTTATGGCCTCTGGTGACTCCACCAGAGCCCCACAGCTGGATATCACACTGTCTACCTTCTGTCTTCCCCTCCTCCATCCATCCTTTCATCCTTATTTCTTCGTCTATTTCCGTGCTGTGTGTAGAGTTTCCAGGTGTTGCAAATGATGAGGGTTGATTGATGTTCAATTCTTTGGCATTTACTCATCTGTCTTTCCTTTTCTATCATTTCATCTATCCAACCTCTAGTCGATCATTTCATCCCCTAGCCTCCCTTCGCCTCATCCCCTCCTACCATCTTTATAGCCTCTGGGTACAGAGGCTCTATAAGGACTCCTCTGCTAGTGGCCACGCTCTCCACCAGCTCGTTGAGTGCCGCACGTTTGATCTCCTTCCCCTTCAGGTCAGCCACGCAGTCGAGGAAATCAAACAGCACGCAGCACTGCTGCAGCTTCTTACAGAACAGGTCGTGTAACTCTGCCACCGGGGCGTCTGGATGATTGAGAGCCAGGAAGAAAGAAAGAGAGAGAGAAGAGAAATATTAGACACAGAGGTGAAAAGACAAAAAAAAAAGCGATGCAGCTCAGCCAAATCCGATGGCGTTCCTGAAAGGCGCTTTGTGTTTGGTAGTGAATCGTTTGACAAAGTGGGAGTGTTAGAGTATACAGAGATGTATTCTACATGCTAGATCTTCTCTCAAAGGTAATGAGGGAAAGAGAGCAGACTATTACTCTACAAACACATTTGTACACACCCACATACACAGGGGCTTGCATCCATACACACACATCCACACACACTTTCCTCCAGAGGGCTGCGTTGCATCTCAGTCCTATTACCTGTCAGATTTGTTCTCAAGACATGTTCGTCACAATGAAACAACCTGCTGCCGGACGTCAGATTAAAACCTTGTACCTCCAAAAACACCACTTTTCCCAGATGTAGAGAAATGGCTGATACCCATGGATTACAGTAGATATACAGTGTGTTTTAATTCGATTCCCCAGGACTGAGAGGGGTTGTTAAACTTAGCGGCTCAGCCTGTAAAGCATTATGCAAAAAGTTGAAAAAAAATTAACCAAACACCACAGTGCAGAGTTACAAGATTTGACAGCAGCCAAATGGGAATGTTTGGTTCTTTTTCTGAGTAACCAGATGATTGATGACTCAATAACTAAATATAGCAGTGATCCCGATTTTATATCCCTATATTAGTGAGACGTATGTGAGGTTTGGTATGAAAAATAACATGCTGGTCTATATTGAGATAAATGATAAAATACACATCAAATATGAAAACTAATCCTCTTTGCAAAGGTTTTTGCAGGATTTCCAGCAGAATGTTAGCACATGTTCCAGACTACATTTGTATATGTATGTTATGTATTTATGTCATGAATTAAGAAAAGGTTAGCTGGAAAGACATCACAGATCACCCTATTTGTAATGCTGTGAATCCTTTTCGTATGGTACACAACCTTGCCATGTACATGTATGACAGATCCTACGGGATCTTTGTGCATGTGTACCAATTTACCAAATTCCATAGTTATCCAATACTTAAAACCCAAAAATGTCCACTTCATGGTACTAAATGAAAGATCAGGAGAATGAGGAGATCACAGAAGTCTGTAGGATTTATCCTCTGGGGAGAATAAATGTCTGTACAAAATTTAATGGCAATTCATCTGACAGTTGTTGAGATATTTCAGTCTGGAACAAAGTGGTAGACGGACTGGCATCCCTGCTAGTGTGGCTAAAAAGAGAAAGTCCATTATGTATGTTTACTAATGCTATACTTGTAAGCTTGGTGTTTATTTAGCCGCCACTGTTGCCCGAGTGAATAAATAAAAGAGTGGGTGACCAAAAATAGTGACTATTAAGCTTAGGGCGCCATTCCATGCTGAAAAAAAAAACGAACAAGACACCGACTTCTGTGCCATCCCAAAGAGAATAGCGTTCTCAGTGTGGCCCTTGAGGTGTGTTGAATATACTGGTTACTCTGTTGTCCTGAACAATAATCTCCCTCTGTCAGAAGAAAATAATTCAGCTTTACCAATGACTGGGAAGCAGTCTAGACTAACTGTGCAGTTGGAAAGAGGATGATCCAAGGCTCACACACACACACACACACACACACACACACACACACACACACACACAGCAGGAGCAGATTAGATTTAACCCTTCTTAACCCCCAGGTGGGAAACACAGGAGGGATAAGGGGGGCTGGCTGGAGCTCTTCCAGCCCCAGACCCTCTCACCTCTTGTGGGCACACCAGGACCATCTGCTCCCTTTGGCACAGAGCTGTACAACAATGGACGAAGACTGCCCTTTGCTTGATGTGTCAAGGCACAAGACACACACTCTTTTGAGACCATTGAAAGTGGCCTTTTATTTGATCCATTATGCTTTCCATACTAAACATGGTGACGTAACAGAGTATCTGGATTCACCAGAGGAATTATCTACAGTCTAGAACTACCAAGTTGCTGTTTGGTAAAGTCCAAGGAAAGCAATACAGTAGCACCTACTAAACTTTAGTTCAAATTTAGTCTACATGAAAATTGTCTTCTATTCAGACAAACATCTCAGAACTTTTTCTTGTTATATATGCAGACGACTGTGTGTTGTTTGTGTATAAAGCCTCAGAATAAAACAACTGTCGTGCTTCTTGTTTTTTGTCCACTCAATGTTATGACATGACCTATATAAACCTTTTCTGCAACACTTCTTTTTGCCTATTTTACATCTAGTGTTGACATCTATGAAGCTCTCCATTGAGCTGTACTGAGCTGTCAACTTGTTCTTGAATTGCAGCCATTTCTCAGTGACTGGACAATCGTGTGACAGTCGAGTTCACACAATTTTCTGACAATTTGTGACGAAAAAGAAGTGTGAAAAGTTTAAGAGGATGAACTATTTCTTCTGACTTTACTTTGAGAACTAATGTGAGTCTAAATCTGCAAGGCGACCACAAAATACCTCTGTATTTGATGTTCTTGGCTGTTTGAGATAGCTGCAGCTTCTGTCTTTTCATCCCCTGACCCTTCAACACTCATCTACCTCCCTCCCTCTTCTAGAGTACTATCCTTTCCTTTCTTTCTCAACCACTCTATTTTCCTCCCCCTTCCTAATCTGCCCCTTCATATCCTTTCTATCTCTTCGTCCTTCTCTCCTGGTTTCTTCTAGCCTCCATTCCGCCTTTCTCTTTCTCTTCTCCCTCCCTCCTGTTCTCCCTCTGTAGACAGACTGTGAAGGTGAAATCTAATCCATTTTTAATGGGGAGTAATTGTATGAAGATGTGCCGTGCTGGGACTGAGAAAAAAGAGCAGACCGAGGTGAAAAGACGATGAGAAAGAAAAAGCATACATGTGTGTTTGGGAGACAGAGAGTGAGAAAGGAGGTGAGAAAAAAAGAGGGACGATGAAGGGAATGAAGAGACTTGGTGGGTCATGTGAGAGCAAGTGTGGGAGAGAGCGAAAGAAAAGAAATTCAAACAGCTAAAAAATAGAGGAAAAGTGTAGGGAGATTACAGGCACAGACAGAGCAACAGAACAGATTTTAAGGTAAAGAAAATGGGCTAAAGCTGTTTGTTGGTTGTCAGTGTCACTAAACCAGCCACCAATAATACCTGGCTGTCTATTGTTATGTCTCATACAGGTAGAAAATGCTTTCCTGTTCATCCAGAAAAGGAAATTGCATAAACATAAACTCGGTCCACAGTGGAGAAACCAAACTGAGGTTACACTGCGTGAGGAGAATTGTATTTTCCTCCTGGCTGTGCTATTATTAGGTCAACAAAGGTCGCTCCAGACCCATTCATTCAAAGCAGCTTTTAATATGATGTCAGTGCAGTGATTATAATATTAACTAAGATCTTAATCACAGCAAGTGAGTCCTTTATGACTGAGCTATTTTCATGTTTCCACAATCTAAATTGGTGTTGAATAAGTAACAAGCCTGGCTGTGACTTTAAAATTAAAAATACAACATTAAATCCATGCAGTTAAATTTTATTTTCTTTATTAACTCAGCAAGTCCCTCGAGATTAATTCGCCATTACCAACGTTACATTACCACAATTATAAAGCAAGATAAAACAAAGAGTCCAAACAGCAGGCTTACAACAACCAATCCAGTTTAAGACAAGCAGTTACACTCTTCATTTATTTTTTATACCAAGTATACCAAGTGCTTTAAGCTTTGTGTTACTATTCTTTTAAATGATCTGTTCTTCTTCATAGATGCACATAGTGTGCAGATAAAGGATCTTTTTAAAATCCACATGCACAGAGAATGATTCATTTACCACTTTCATTCTGAAGAATTTACAGCTCTTTTTTCCAATTTAAAGCTACGCTGATCAATATTTGACTATGTGTAATGTGAAAGAGGTCACTCATAGTGGAATTATCACCAGACCAGACTAGTTCCTCTGAGCTCTGTGGGATATTTTAGCGTCTTTCATCTGTAGTTGTTCTAGTTTGCAGGCCAGCATGTAATGTTTTGGTTGACCCTCACTGCTTTTATCATCATTTCAAGATGTTGTTTTCCGTAAAAAAAAAAAAACACTAAAGATCCAATGTACACCACCTTACCCAGCACCAAACAGCAGCTGTGTCTGCTGGATGTGTAAATACATTCAAATTTAGAACAATGTCATGTTTACAGCTTGTAGCACTAACCTGCAAGAGGCCAAAATAAAATTATCGCTGCTTTAAAATTACTGTAACCTCTGACTTTTATGCGTAACATAGAGCTTAGTATACTCAACTTCAAGCTTTACAGTGAAAGCCATTGATAGAGGATTAAATTACAGTGAAAAATAGTAATGTTAAGTGTTGTGTAGGTGTTGTTTCTGTTGAGGCGTACAAACCAAAGTCTGTTTGAAGACCAAGAGTTCTTGGTTGTCAGCTCATGTTTATTTGTAAAGCCACATATAATGTACATGCAACAACAGTTCCTATCGCAGCCCTGTAGCTGTCTAAAACAATATTTGGTGCATGAGGAAAAATACCTCTGGAGAGGCAACTCAATGAGTCCTGTCTAGAAGAAACTGTGGGAGGTTTAAAAAAAAAGCACTCAATTTAGACATAATGTGACAAGACCAAAAAATAAATCTGACAAAGGACTATAAAAAAAGTCCAAAAACACTTCACACTGTTCCAAGACCACTGGGAGACAGATAAAGACAGGTCACATCTTATATGCAGTCTAGAAAGCTTCTGGATCACTTTACATTTCACTAAATTTAGCAGATACTGAGTAATGTATGATATTATTGGCCATTAAATAAGGACATATTAAACTGGCAGGCATTAAGAGGAATCTAATGAGAAATTCCCTCTACTAGCATAAACTGAATCAGGTTAGCAGCCTACTCGTCTTTTAAAACCTCAAATAAAATGATTCAATATGAATCACTTTATAATTAAAACTTAAAGGAGATTAAATGCAATGCCTCAGTAGAATCCTTAAGCAGGAAGAC